AATAAGTTCTGGAAACCAAATACTTTAGTGAAAGTGAACGTTTAACACTTATAGTTGAGCATCACCTTTTGTATCTCATCTTACACAAACAGTGAACAATCTTTCGGGCTTGAGTGACCTTAGTTATTTTCTTCAAAGTAAGTTCTTTATTTTCGATTTGAGGGCGACTCAAGCCTCAGGTGGGTAAACACCTTGTAGCCGGACAAAGCACTGGAAAATGGTACTTCACTTACCTAATGTTGAGTACCTCTCTGGCTGCACTTTCTCAGATATTCTTGTTTTATTTTCTTACACGCCATTCTCTTACAAGTTTTGATCCTCACATGGAGGACATGTTCAGCAAGTCGTAAGCGATAATTTGTGGAATGAATTGAATGCTACGAAACAAGATAACAAGCTAGTTAGGTGTATTACATCAATAGAGTTTCTCCGAACACTGGCCGTGCTTTCGCGGTCATTGATTGAAGGTCGAAGGTTAAACGAGTCAGTGATTTTTCACTGAACTGCGAAAACAGAATTGACATTTTATTGTTTGACAACTTGATCAAACCGACATTATTGTGAATATAAATTCTAGAAGGAAGATTAGAATGGTTGGTCAATAGTTAACCGGAAACATTCAAGTAATAGTCAGAACATTAAAGCTTAAGTATTCACTCACTTCCTTATTTTGCATAGGCATTATATTTCCCATTGTCGCGGTAAATAAATCCCCAAAATCAGTAGCTCCGTAAGTCTTCGATATTTGATGCTGACCCTATTAGTCTTAATGCACTCACCTAGCTGAAGGCGCTCGATCACACATTCGCACCAGATAACGAGTGGATAGGCCTTGCTTCACATCTTATACGACTGCTAACCAGCTTAGACTGATCACTTCCCGATATGTCGATAGCCTATTAAATATGTTTTCGAACCTCTCCTACCCTGAATTTGATTTGACAGGGTCGGCACACTTCGATTATAAAGGTGTTATTGGTTGAGACGTTATCAAACTTCCAATATCTCTTGCATCTTTACCACAATTTTACATGGAATGTTGAAGGCATTGTATGTTTCTACAGGCAATCTGGCACTCCGCTCTACCTTCCAGGACTTAAGAATAAAGACTTATTTACTAATAATCTTGTTCCTTATATCGGTAGAACGAGGGTTACCCACCTACATGAAAAGGTAATTGGACTCCAATCTTTTGATGAGGGCTTTTTCAGACGAACATTTTTATGGGACATATGACTTCTTCCTGCGCTGTCATTAATACCTCCAATATTTATCTTGTAAGGTCATTAAGAAGCACAAAATGATGAGTTAAAGATGACGTTTCTGACTAACTGGTTATGCATTTACCGTGGTACATCTTATTTTAAACAGCTTTGAACTTTAACTGCATTCATTCTGGAACACCAGTTGCTTGTCGCAAAGTAAACTCCACAAAAGCACATCAACTCTCATATTCAACACCAGAGTTTTCCCAACATAAATATTCCAATGTACAAAATTATACCCCTTGTTTCTATGACAAATGTGCCCTATAACATATTAATGTCATGGAGTAACTTATTGAAGTAAAGCTTTTAGCATTTGTAACAATCTGATCTTGCCTGTAAATTGGCCTGCCTCACGTAAGATTTTTATTTGAAAACGCATTATTCTCGTTGCGTCAATTAGTTTAGTTGCGGACACCTTATCTTGTATAAATTCCTTGGAATGTTTCCAAGGTGTCAAACTTCATAAACTAACCCACCTTCAGAAAGAAGACACTGGTTTTCATAGTCATTGACGAACCCGATACTATGAAACAAACATGTGAGAACAGGTGAGAAAACGAAGCCAAGTGACACATCTGAGGATGAGATTTATTCGGCCATGCCGTGAGATCGTCGTCGGTGATAACTTTCCCAACCAGGTGTTCTAGCCATCATAGTGCTTATGAGACAAGTTCTTGTATAGGCTGTCAGACATCTGTGGTGATTAGACACAACTATTATCCCTTAAACTTTCACTTCACTCGATTTTCGTGTCGACCATGTCCATCGTGACTTATTAGGAACCCATACAGGTTTAAATGAGGAGGCTTATCTCTAGACTTGTGTGAACCGTTCCAAACGATGGACAGAAGCAGTAACTGACGGTGATATTACTCCTGAAGCAGTGGTCTACGTCTTTATTAAACGAGTGGTAGCAAAATCAAACTGCCCTTTCAAATACTGCAAATGACCCTGGACGCCGGTTCGAATCTAGACTTCCTGTCGTCTTATTATACGACAAATGTAGACTACCTGTCAATCACAGGCTCAAGGCGTTGGCCGAACGACTTCACTGACAGTTCCAAACTTCGCTTTCAGCCACAAACGTTTAGAAATGACGCTCATCTACCAGCGTTACTCAGTATACGCAACGCAGCGAATGTGGCTGCTGGATACGGTGCAGGACAAAGCAGTCACGGCATGACGCTTCGGATTTCAGAAAAATCTGCTGGTTCTTTATTCTTTTCAACGGATAAAAACTCTTTTACTAACGGGCTTACAAATGCAAGTCGTTCAATTTGACCTGTTTCCACTCGATCAGAGTCAAACCGCCCTAAAGCTGAGTACAAACGATTTGATGTTTCGCGACTCACTACGACGATCCCTCAAAACCGCTTACGAAGGACCACACAAAGTCCTTTATTCCGAACCTACGTACCATATCATCAATAAAAATCAATATCAACTGTCTAAAGGCCGCTTACTTGAAAGGAAATCCCATCCATGTTAGAGTTCTCATGAAATAATCGAGCGGCACAATCCTAACGACTAAGGTGGAAACCCTGATAGTTAGCGACCACGACTAGTGGTTTTCGGCAGGTAGTTCTCAAAGAACGACAATGTTTCCAGAACACTTAGACCATTATCGCACTTAGAGCTCATAATAAGTCTTTATTTTCATTTTGTTTTTCGCTTCCTACAACCAGTGAGTGACATGTTTAGTTTTTAAATATTATTGCGTAAAAAATAAAAGACCCAAAAATTGATTTTTTAAAGATGTGCTTGTATACGTTTATAGATCTCTGAAAGCCTTTTTGAGTCGGTTTTTTCTCTCTGTTGTACTATATATATATATAGCTTTTCAGGAATTTTACTTGGTTACGCAAATACGACTGTATTTTGAAATGGGGTTACATCTTCAGTTTTCGCTTTTCCAAAAAGAACTGGGAAAGATAAAAAATGGACGATTATTACGACGACTTGAGGTTTACGTATTTCACTTGTTATTATTATGTATCACATGGACCTGTGCATAAAGAGAAGACCACCATATGCTTCTGTAAATAGTAAGCTATCAGGATAGTGTTTACTTACTGCAAGCTCGTTTGGCCTAAACTGGCTGGTCACTTCGAAGGGTCGTTTCTACCCCACTATGGAGTTGATGAGCTAAAGTGGTAAATAAATCCCTAAAATTAATGATTCTGCAAGTCCCTGCAAGGCGCTCAATCACGCATCCGCATCAGATCACGAGTAGGTACGCCGTGCTACTCATCTAACCAGCTTAGACCATACGCTTTTCAACATATTGACATCCCTCCAAGTATATCTTCAAACTCATTCATCTCTAACTTCTGATTTGACTTTGTCGGTATAGTTTGACAGTAAGGGTGTTATGGATAAAACCGTTGTCGAAACCAGAATATTTGTAGCATCTTAGATACCAATCTAGTCAATTGAGAATATTTATGTCTCATAGCACTGATACTATTCTAGAATACAATTATGCAGACTACCGGTTAGGTTTTGTAAATTTCAGTAGTTGTAAGACAACTTATCAATAAGAGAAGGAACCAAAAGCATTAATTACCAGGGTGAAACTATAATCTATGAACGAACTTTTGGGGGCGCTGAAGTGACCCTGAGTGTCTACCTAAATACTAGGACTAAATAGGGCTGGCAAAGCCGTTTGAAGAATAGGGATTATGATTTACAGCTGATGTTTGGGGTTATGAATTAGATTTAGGGTTTTCATCACGAACTGACATCAGCTATAATGCCAAGACTCTATTTATCAAAATGGGTGAATGGATTTCGTGCCAACACCCAAGACCTGTTATCGTAAATCTGAAAGGTTCGTCCATAAATTTTAGTCTTGCCTCTATAATTGCAATTCCAGCAACAATTTTGAGTCTACTCACTCTAGGCGTCATCCCGCAGTTACCCTTACTTTTATTGTCGGATGGGACGTCAATCAAACAGTTTTACTTCTCATATATATGAATCATATTTTCTTGCTCAGACACAGGCTCGAAGCAACTGTCGAGTTTTGCAATTTAAGGAGCACGAAGTCATACTTAGGTGTTTGTATACTGAATGTAGCTGCCAGAAGTGTTGGTACCCTATGACCTGAAGTCCTAGGTTAACTGCGACAAAAATACTTCACGAGCAAACCTTGGATTGGTAAAGTTGGAGCAAATTTAGTTAGACGGTAAAATTTTCTACTTTATCTCCGACAGTTTTGTTCAACCACACTTAGAGTATGAAAGTATAGTGCTTCCACCCTCACTCCAAAAGGACAAGAGTACGTTGGAATGTATTCAAAGGCAAACCACGAAGTCAGTTCAAGCCTTATGAAAAGCACCTCGAATCCCCGGACGTTTACACAATGGAGCATGTGCCTCTCAGAGTTAACCGTCTAACGACTTAAGATGTCTTAATTACTTCTGGACATGACTAAATACCCACTTAAGCTCAGTCCCAACACAAACCTTAGGGGTAAGACTCAGAAACTGGAGACACAACATAATAAAGCAGACCGTCGACAAACATTATACTTATTCTACTCATCACGAGTAGCCAAATCCTGAAATTAGCTGCCTTGTGAGCTAGTCAAAGTGACGTCACTCTATCTAGAACCATTTGAACCATTTTGGACTATAATAGTAACGGCGGACAAATCAGATAATCTCGACACAATTGTGTGCCTCAGGAAACCTGGATCCGCAAACGAAGCCTAGAAAACGGTTTTCGGGAATGTTTGCGATTGATTATGAAGCAACATTCATAGATCACAGGAGAATCACTGTGTGTCTGGCGTGCTTAGGCCCTGGGAGTGACGAGGAAACTTTTAATAGCGTTTTTTGTTCGCTAGTGACTCACTACTCATTTACCTTTGTACGAAGTAATGGTGAGTTTACTAAGCATTTGTCGCTCTAATCATTTAAATGCCATAAGGACATCTCGACGTAAACTATAATTTACGTCAACTATGGTTGATTATTTTGACAGGCCTTGTGTTGCATAAATTGACTTTCCATCAGTACCAATAAAATTTATCGGTCGATAAAAACTACGGAACCTAGAGTTTAATATTTAATTTTCCTGAGAACAGGCGAATTATGTTTCAGTTGCTTTAGATGGAGGGATGCAATAACTCAAAATATTTGTGGCATATTTGATGCAGACCAAATGATGTATAATACTTGACACTCACACCACGTAACATTAGTTCTGGGAAAACACTCAAAAAGTATAAAGCTGTATGTTTGGTGGGGTCTCAATTTAAGCAAGTACAGTGTAGCACAACTTTTTACTACCGACTACATTTCTGACTAAAAACAATCTATGTGGTTTCAACCAAAGCTATTGCTAGTAAGCGCTTATAAACAGGATGGCATATAAGGATTACTTATCATGGAAATTTACTAGTTCTCACCTAATATTAACTTAGTTTTTCGTCCTAAATGGCAAAATCGGATTTAATTGTCCTAGACTTTTAACTTGCTCTGTATTAAATGCACAAAAACTCTGCCTCTAAATTTGTATGACGTGAATTGTGCTGTCAGTATAGCGAAGAGGTAATCACAGTCTCATGTACTTAACTAAGATGTTTGGACTAGGACCGTAATTCTAAAAATTCATCTGCATTTCATCCCTTGTATATGTTTGATGTTAAACAAAACATCGCACTGCTGATTCAAAGGCTGAAGAAAGATTAAGTCTTGTAGGGAAAATAGGCTATATTTCACTGGGCAATTGAGTTTATCATCGGAGTTGTGTTAGATTTGCCTAAACGAAGTATGTGGCAATGTTGGGGTTGAAATATACATATCATTTAGATGCAACGTAAAACCTGGCACCGATTCTTCAATTTAAGTAACCATACCACATTAACATAACGAGATAAAACTCCAAAGATATCCTGGCGTAGTAGAAGTAGTAACAGTAACAGTAGTAGTTAAAAAACTAAGTACAGAAAAAGGAGATAAAATTTCGGGTAATATACGTGTATCGCCGTGATATACGATATATTTTTGGTTTCCAATCGTTTCCGATATGGGGTCTGCGTATTGTTTTAAAACCATCTGATAGTTGATCTCTATAGGAATCAAATTAAGGCTACTAAAATATCTTTGTCCGATGCTGATGGCAGGTGACATTTATAGTTTCTCCTTTCATAATATGCAGAACACTGGTGATTAGCTCCTATGTTTGCTTGCTGAAATTTCTGTACGATTTTCAATGAGAGAAAAGTGTCTAGATGTGAGAAACAAGTAACTTAAATATTAAGCGAGCAGTATAAATGGCAAAGGAAAATATCTTTCCTTAAACTTGCTTGGATTCTACAACACTAATTCGCGTTCTCACAGGTTCGAAAAGTGAACATCTGTTGGGCACGGATAAACGCGATTCTCTTTCGGAGACCTCTGAAGTACACAGTGATATTGGGATATCAAGTCTTAATACTCGTCAGCCAATCTGGTTAAGGTTCTTAAAGGAATATAACCCAATCAATAATGCATGGAGCTGTTTCCAACCTTATCGGGCTACTGCTGGACTGCTTGCTTTTGCCTGGTGTTCAAGTCATTATGACATAGAACTACGGGTCAAAGATTACATCAAGCAAAAGGTTAGTTTTATTGAATATGCTGGTTTATTTTTTATGTTCACTCAATTAGGGTTCTCTGGTATGGTTATTCCACCTTATTTTTACTTCTCCTCGTAATAAAATCTGGTATTATAGGTTACCAGGAAGATGTACATGAAAGAAACCGTTACATCAAATATTGTAGATTTATGTTCCGAAAAAGTTAACTATTCTACGAGTAAGTAATACGTTCAACTAGGTCTGAGAAAAAGCAAACAGTGAAAACAATACAAGTGGTAGTGGAAAACCAGACATCAGATACATAGTTCGAATGAATTAACTAAAATCAGAAACTGGAAAGTGTAAAATACTAGTGTTCGCGTTATAATTTCTTCCTACTGCATCAATTCACTCGATAAGTCCCTAAATCAGAACACAGTTGAATAGTAAAGAAATTATATTCCAAGCAACAAGAGATTTGAGTGTGACCAACTTGATCTCGTGTGCCTCGACGTGTTATGTTTTACTGTGTAGGAGTAGGTTGGAAGAAAGCTAGGGGCGGCTAGGCCAAAACATGGAACAAGTCCGTGAAGTCACTGACAAGTGGACTGAGCCATGTTGATAGGTGTAGACTACCTGGTTGGGGACCGCGAGATGATAGCAACCGATGGTTAGAGACCCTGAATGGCATGGCTCAAAATCCTTTGCAATGGCGCAAGTGCATCCACTCTTTGTGCTCTCCCAAATTTTAATCTGAATTCTTCATGTCCCTTATTTTCTTTCCAAATTTATTTCACTGTATTATACTCCTTGAATAACGTCTTCCAACCCTGATCTTTCCGATTACTGCTTATACTCTTACCACCTCTACCACTACGGAATTTGAGTCGACAACTGCATCTCTGTGCTAATATGGTATGACAACTGGAGCTGACGTACGTACGTGCGAAGTTCTACGTTACTGACTGAACAAGGGTAGATAGAAGTAAGAAACACAATAAGGAAAACGTTAATATATTTATATTTTTTACATGGGAAGATTTTAGTTTTCACTAAATGTCGACTAGCGCTGATTGGATAAGAATTAGCCAATCAGCGTGCACCAACGCAATTTGCATGGAACATGCTTTTATCCAATCTATGTCCCACTAACAGTTCATGATTTATAGAAAGATGAATACTAGTCACACCCACCCCAGTGTGATTGGTTTTTGGTCATTTTATCTGTCACCATCCATAGATTACGATTTCCTGAGTTTTAGGGAGTTAGTTTGCCCTTTGTGATCCGGCTAAAATAGTCAGATCTTAGTTGGCTAATGTCTTGCCTTGGTTTCGACCTTCGTGACATTTATTTATATTAATTGACATTTAAATCTCAATTACTTTTACTAAGTACCAATTATCTTTGAGTACTCAGTTACTCGTCACATTAGCACGGTTTAAAAAATTATTACGACCGTAAAATATTCCTGATATGCTGAGTTAAGTACTCTCGGCTTCCCAAAGCAGTATAATTATATATCCTGAACTACCTCCCTTAAAGATTTGTATAGTTAACACACCTGGACCTATTGCCCTATGTTGCATCAAGTTAGTTACTACCTCAGCTCTACTAATAATTTGTGACCCACCAACCAGAGCCTACCTCGATTTGTCGTGTTGGCTGGTGTAAAGACAGGTTGAAAGTAAACTAGGACCAGTCAAACAGAAAAGTGGTATCAGTCCATAAAGTCTTTGGCTGTTCATCCGAGCCATGTTGGTGGGTGGCGACTGTGTGATTGGCGTCTGTGAGACAACTTCAATCACTAGTAGTTGGAGACGTTGGGTGACATGGGTCATATGTATTTGCTCTTTATCTCCCATTAGGTCCTGAGTTCTAAAATTGGTTTGTACTTTTATTCTGTCATTCTCGTTTCTTCGACCATGTTATGTATGCTTATCGTTATTGTGTTAATTAGTCACATGATTTTCCTTTCTTGTCCTCTTCCCCATCAGATGTTTTTGTTTTTTTTGCTAGAAATTGTTGTCAGCTACGCTTATCAGTAGTCAACTTTTCCTGTTTTTAAAACCATTGGGCAATGAAAACGACTCACTATCAGTTGAAGAAGCAAATGCTTTTGTATCTGAAATGTTGAAAGAGGTAACTTGATTTTTCCAGTGTTTGTTTTTGTATGGTGTCGAAATGTGACGCATTGGCTCTTCCTCGTACTGTTGACATACTGGGTTCTCTATTCATATAAAAGCCATTTTTGATTCAGAGTTACTTGTAACTAGTTGATTATTTGATAGAACAACCGAGAACTTGTCAAATTATTTCAAATAATAAATATGAAGTGCAGCTTGTAAACATCTGAATATGAACAATGTGATTTTTAAGAATCTATCTTTGATGTAAGACGGTTTCCATCTGTGTAGATTTTAATCAAAATGACTTCAAATAATTATTGAACAGTGAATTTATTTTATTTAATCGAACTTATTTCTCAACATTATATTACATTTAAGGATGCTTTTTTTACAAGATCCAGTAATTGACTGTTTTATCGCTGACAAGCAATAGTTTTCGGACTACTGGATGGCAGCAAATACTTGAAAGTTGTTTTTAGTTCATTAAAAACCTTTTCGGAACTGAAAGATCACTGACAGTTCAAAAGAAAAACTTTTTTGTGAATATCAAGTATAAAGGACATGCCAAGCGGAGGCGAACGCGAAATTCCATTATTTAAGACCCTGTTGAAAAGGCTAGATGATTACCTACAAAGATCTATGTATAGAAAATCGACATGAAATGGTCAGTATACGAATTTTTCACATCTGGGTGCCATAGAGTAGAAAAAGAAACGTAAGTCATTCTGTATCTTCGACGACCAGGCATACATACTCTAATAGCATAATAGATGACAAACTATTTAGATTATATTTAGTTCAGGCTTGATAGACTGCTTTATATTTTTATGAACTTGTCAGCTGAATGTACTTGCGTCACAGTGATTGTTGATGTTATCACTGAGACTTGAACCCAGTAAATGGGAACAGGAATCTGTTATTTACTGGGTATAAGTTGTCACTCCCACCATATATATTTCTGAATGTTTTTTCAGATTTCTTTGATCACTTTTCGTTATTCAACTATCTTTATATCCCTTAAGCTCTTGACTGCATGGTATTTATTCAGAATTTTTATCATTATTTTTTTTCCATTTCGGGAATTTTTATTGTGTGAACAATAAATAATTTTACCTGAAATTATGTAAACGTATATAACTCTTATTTTCGTCACAGGATTCAGCATTGCTAGGTGAAATTATTTGTCATCCTTCCGAGCATTTATTCGCATCAGAAATGAATATTCTTAAAGACTTTGGTTACTCTGCTGGGACGGATGAGTGTTCTTTAGTTGACAAATCACATGTTTCAATTAGACCACCGTTTGTTAATCATCGAATTAGTTCAGTCCTTCAAGCACTAACTTCTGAAATTTATTGGAATTTGAAGAAGATGCTCGCCGCTAAGTGTCCGAGTGATATTAAATTGAAGAAAAAAGAGTCACAGTTATCTAAAGAACTAACAGACTCGTCAGACGATCTATTAATGGCTCCAGAAGAAAATGAATCGAAGTGGAATATTCTTGATGAAGTCAGACGTAAAGCGCTAGGGCGTACTAATGCATTATCTGCTTGTCTACCTTTACAGATAGATCAGGATCAACAAGTTCTATCAGTGCTCAAACAGATATAAGGTTAGTTATTTCTTTTTTAAAACACTTGATGAAGTTGTCGCTTTTTATTTATGGATATTCCTTTCTTATATACGAATAAGGTTGTGATGCATATCATTCAGATTTTTAGTAACATTCGACATAATTATAGTTTAGTTAGCTGTTCTTTTAAATTCCAAGTTTGCCTATCTGAATACAAAATTATCCTTTATTCACATCCCAACAAATCTATAGATTGACAACCTATCTCATCTGAATATTCACATCACTGACTCATGCTTCACCTCACTAATGTTATTATGTAACTTCGTTATGATACATTCGAAATAAAATATAGAACCGCATGAGCATCTAATCGTCGCCATCTACACTTCAAGTTAATGAAAGTAGATACCTTTCATCCCACCAATTGATTCAGGTAGCAAGTAAATAAGCAGTACCTCTGATCCAATAGGAGATAATTAACTTTAAAATCCATGTCTTCACTGACTTGTCGACGTTAAATCTTGCTTGAAAATTTAATTGTGATATCTTATTCTTTTTATTCAAATGTTAGAGACTTTTCAGTTGTACATATGATTTCGTTTAATCAGAATCTTAAGGCATTAAGTTTGTGTTTCTTTTCCACAACTGATAGTGGAGATCAATTTATTATTTATGTATTTGAGCACATAAATACTGGTACAAAGGGACACCGAATACATATATGCCACATAAGTCACTTGATTTGTGTGTCGGTTGTGATACTGCCCGGTTGCCCAGATCGAAGCTGGTGGTTTTCTTAGGGGTCACACCCGGAACCTTAAACCTAAAGGTCTGATCCACAAGGTAGTGGAGAAACGTCAGGAGATACAATCCCATGGTAGCCTGTGACGAATAATTGATACATACGCCATTTTTCCTTCAGGATCCTAGAGCCCATGTTCACCATTGGTTTGGAATCAGGGTTTTCCAACTTCCCCAGGTGGATCCTCCATATCCGACAACCCGGTTAAGGCGCCGGACATTTGTTCTCCCCCAAATGCCCTGGTGGGGAGAGTCAGCCCTCCCTCTCGAAACGCTCTCACATGACCACTCATATACAGTCATTGCCAGGGAATTCCTACTCACTGCCTCCTCGCGGCGCGGGTGTTGTTTACGAAATTGAGAAAACGAAAAGCGAATGGGGATTCCAGTGTTTGACATGATTACATTTTGAAGGGCAGCAAGTCATGTTAGAAAATCACCTAAAGGTACAATATTTGGTATAGAAACTTATTAGTTTGTGTGAACGATTTTAAGAAGCATTTACTAGTGATTTCTTTAAATTCTCAATTCCAGTTTTGAGTGGTTCGGGTAAGTTTTTAAAATAGTTTATTTTCATAGTAATAACAATAATCAATTCAAAAAACTTGTTTTCTAATCATTAATAACCTTGGTTTACTGGTGCTTTGACTAAAAAAAATTCTCTTCATATATATATCCTATTTTTAGTATTAATGAACTCTTCAGAAAGTCTAAATAACTATAATTTGTGATGTTTTTGTTTGGTTTGAATTTTTAGTAAATGTTTAAATAGTATAATAAGTAGATTGCAAATAACTACGTTTCTCTTTTGTGGTCGTACGGAATCTCACTAAACTCTAGGTTTTTCGTGCTTAATTTAACTTAAGCAAAATAACCCTAAACTTCTTGTGCATGTCATCCGCACAGAAATATTTCCGAGAAACCGGTTAATTTTCTACAATATACATAGTTAGTGTCCATTTTAACGCATAACTAACCTACTCTGAATCAAGATAATTCATGTTCACAACGTAGTTAGAAACTAGTTGATTGTCTGGAGCTGCAATATTTTCAAAGTTGCAGCCTGTGTAGCAGATGACTTATGTGTTCGGAAACAAAATTTGCTTGTGTTTTGAACTTGCTTTTAACTTACGGATGGGTAAAAGGCCAGAATGTAGAGTAATCCATAGCTTCTGTTTCATCAACTAATTGGTCACCAACCTACTGCATTGGTGCAACATTTTTCGTGTTTAAATTAGTTGTATATCCAAATTTGGCTTGTGTCTAGTAAGTGTTGACTGTTTCTGAACTCAACTACACTCAAAATTTGTTAACAAAAAACAACATACTTGAATTTGCTAGCCATAATAACACCCGAGGCAATCATAATCCTGTTAAGATACTGCATGTGCAGAAAGATTTATTACTTATTAAAAAAAGTAAATAATACTCTAGGAATTCTCTGTTTTCGTATTAATGTTAATTATTCTAACAGATGGTGCTGATTATAGCAGAATAAAGTTTTGTATATCTTTCAGGTGGCCATTTTGATTACTAAAGAATGTGGTAGAATGTAGATATAGACAAGATTTTCATTTGAAATAATTCCTTTATGAATACTTTTAAGGTCCAATTAGACTGTCAAAGTAAGTCTGCATTATTCAGTGTAAGCTCAGTGTACAGTATATATGTCATGTATTAGTGGTTGCCCACAAAGAATGATAGATTCGGATTGCTTTTTTCGTTGATGTATTGTTACGAAAGTTCGTAATGAAGCATTTTTATGTTGTCCTACTGTTATTCTTTTGATCAACGTTTGCTTTTGCTCTGTCCTGGTAGTATCCTAAGTTTGTCAGGTTTGATTGCATGTCTTGCGGAATTGTCATCTAGATTTTTCGAAGCTGACATTGTTTTCACTGTGACTAAGATGATGAATAAGTAATATTTTACAAATTGTCATATAAAAGTTGGATTCTCGATGTTACTAGAGATCTTTTATGTTGAGTTTATCGTGTTATTATCATTGTTTGCGGCTTAATGGTTAGAGCACTCGTTTTTCAACAATTGGATCACAAGTTCAGAGGTCATCCCATCTGCTTGAGTTTGGATAGTTGCGTAGTGCTAATAACCGTCAAATAAATGATCATTTCAAGTCGAGTTCCTGAACATGTACTTGATTAGTGAGTTTTAGATCGCTTATAGCTAAGTTGTCCATAATGTGATATGGGTATATTTTTAGTTTTTTGGCTTAAAAGGTTTTGACTTATTATGTACAGTTTATTGAAATTAAACTAATTGTTACCAAATCATGTGAGTAAATCTTCTTTTCACTGTATTATTGCACAATAAAAATGAATGGGTTTTAAGTACACGAAAGGAGTATAATTTGTAACAGTAGGCCTCCTATCCCATACATCCCTTTAAAATTTTTATAGATTACTGGGAAACAATATAATAAGAAATTTTATTTGGCGACTAAATACCCATCAATTGTTCACTACCTAGCAGTAGCCTGAATGGAAGATCGACATTAATCCTCCAATTAAAGTGAGCGAGCAACAAGCCCTGGTTGGTTAGTTCCTGAGGTTTTTGTGGATGATGATGCAGGATCGTCCAACCTAGAATAATATGCATCTGTGTCAGGTTCTGATCGAGCGTTTTAGAAATTGTATCAATGCTCTAGCGATAACCCTCAGACGCTTAAATCCAAGTTGGTGAAGCGGCTTTCAAATATAAGACGTTTTTGTTAAAAACAGAGTGCTTAAACCCGACCGTTGTTGCTACCTTGACGTAGTGGTCGGGCTTGCCTATCGTGATGAAGCAACCGAGCTATATTGGCTGGAACAACCTTTCCTCAAGGTCCTACCATGTCAGACAGGTTGGTTGAAGAGCGGTAAGACTAAATCAACAAACCCAAGGTCCGAAGGCGAAGTTGTACTGCTGGCTGTACAGAGGTGTGACAGTAGTAAGGTGTTTCCTTCAGACAACCAGCATGACAGCAATGCTGCCTTCCTACAAGGAGGGGTGGAGTTAGAAAAGGTCGACCCTAAAAGTGCATACCAGGAACAACTGAGGTCACACTTAGGTAGTTCTGAAAACGATGCTGGCCCAGATGTTGCTTGGAAAGATATACAAACAGCTGTGAAAACAACAGTGACATCTATCAGTGATTTAAACCACAGGGTTACAAAGAACCAATTGATTTCTTCAAGGTCTATTGCACTGATGGATTCTCATAAACTCATCCCATCAGGTTTTGGACACGATGAAGAGCGACAACAAATCAGATCTAGGTTAAGCAAAGGTCTAAGGAACGACCGTGAGCAGTGGTGGGTAACGAAAGCAAAAGAGATGGAAAAGGCGGCGGCTATAGAGAACACAAGACAGCTCTACAGACTAATAAAAGAAACTGGAATTAATAAGTCAAGTGTAAGTGAGACCATTTCGGAAAAAGACGATACTCTCATCTGCTCTCAGTCCAGACGTTTAGAACAATGTGCGGAGCATTTTAGAGAACAATTCAGCTGGCCTTCAGCTACTCGAAGTAGGTCCCCCAACTCTAGCAAAAGTTCAAAAGGCTATAGTTAATCTGAAACGAGGAAGGGCAGCTGGTCCAGATGGATTGGCTCCAGAGGTCTTTAAGGATGGTGATCCAATTTCAGAGGTTAGTTTGACTAATATTTTAGCTAAAATCTGGGAGTTGAACGTTATTCCATCTGACTGGTCACAATCACTTATCGTTCCAATATATAGGAGAGGGTTAAAATCATGTGACAACCATAGAGGGATTAGTTTAACTAATATAGTATCTAAATTACTAGCCTCGATAATTATCAGACGCTTAACTAAGACTCGTGAACTACAAACACGAGAGAGTCAAGCTGGCTTCAGACCTGGTCGTGGCTGCATCGACCACATATTCACCATTCGTCAGGTTCTAGAACATAGACAGCTTATCAGCGTTCGAAAATGATAGTTTTTCTTGGCTTAAAAGCAGCATTTGACTCTGTAGACCGAGAGGTTCTGCAGCAATGTCTGTCATTGAAAAGTGTTCCTCAGAAGCACATAAACCTTGTGAAGGCTCTTTACTCGAGCACTACTAGTGAAGTTAAAACTTATGTGAACTGTCATCTGCTTTTGCAACCTCAAGTGGTGTCCGTCTATGCTGTCCACTATCTCCATTTTTGTTCAATTTCACTATGGACATACTAATGGAAACAACGTTCTCGTTGACTGAATTTTCGCGGATTGACCTCCTACGAGGAGGGCTACTTATTGACTTAGAATACACAAACGCCATAGTCCTGTTTGGTGAAGACGCTGATAAAATGCAGAGTATTTTGGTAGCACTGAGCAACAATGTCAGGATGTTTGGGATGCGTTTCTCCCCCTCGAAATGCAAGTTGTTGCTTCAGCGCTGACTTGGGTCAACACCTGAACTGTGGATAGGGAGTGAAGTAGTTGAACGCGCTGACAACTTCACTTATCTTGGAAATCTGATCAGCCCTAATGGGTTGGTGTCTGACGAAATCTCATCACGGATTCGAAATGGTCTTTTGGCTTATGCCAACTTACGTCACCTATGGCGAAGGCGAGATATCCGTCTATCAGTTAAGGGCCGAGTATAGAGAGCAACAGTTGGTTGTGTTTTATTTTGTGGCTGCGAGACGTGGCCAGTAGGGATAGAGAGAGGGTACTTGTAAGTTACTAGTATTTGATTCCAGATGTTTCAGAAAGATTGCCAGCACTGCTGGGATCATCGGGTAATAGTGAGTAATAATGAGGTTAGACTCAGAGTATTAGGGAATGATGGTAAATCAATTGATGAGTTGGTGAATCTTCATCGACTGAGTTGGTTGGGCCAAGTCCGACATATTTTTAAACGCCGTTTACCACGAGTTGCAATGCTGACAAGTGTTGGAGACTGTTGGAAGAAAGTTAGGGGTGGCCAAGCCAAAACGTGGTATCAGTTCTTGGAGTCACAAACTTCTAGTTTGAACCATGTTGGTAGATGCAGAGTACTTTGTTTGGGTCTATTGTAACTATTGTTGGGAGACTGTGGGTGACATGGCTCAGAATCGATCACAATTGGTTGGGTGTATACACTCTTTGTCTTCCCTTAAACCGTGATATTAAAATTGCTTTATATCTCTCTTTCTACGATCTAATTCTTTCTTCCTGTACTATATGTTTATACATAATTTCTCTTTTATTCATTACTATCATTGAAGTGACTACTTCTATGAATTCGGTGTTCATCTTGTTGTGCTAATGAGGTGTGGTAACTTGGAGCGATGCATATATGTGTCTGGTTCTGCCTCGTAGATGACTGACTGACTGACTTAAACCTTTAAGTTTAAGGTCTTAATGAATGTCTTATATACTCTCAACCAATCATTCAATGAGTTGTTTTTCTAAATCCTTAAATTTAACCTCTTGACTATTCGGTTTTAAAATATGCTTTTATCATTACCTACATTATCAATACAAAGTTCACTTGATGTTTAGGAGTAGTACGTGTTCATGAAAACCAAATTATTTCTCATAGGACATCATGGATGCTTTCATCGTGTTCCGTTCCGAATTACGGAAGGTAATTTTACCTCCCTGAAGTTTCCTGGTTTAAATCCTAAATTATATCCTTTCCCTTGTCATATTACTGTAATAGTATTTCTCCAGTTGTATTGTTTGACTTTTTTCATACTTTCCTTTGAACATTATGCACATATTCCAAGTAGTCAGTACTTATGATATAAATCAAATGCGTACTTTATTTCCACTTGCATTTTCTGTTTTCACCTTCATTTCTCATAAAAATAAAGTTATTTTGTTCATTTTATCGTTCAATTCCTCACGAATCACCTTCCACTATTTTGTACTGCGATTCTTTCGTGTGTTCCAGTCTTAGTAATAATGTGGTATGATTAGTAAGGTATTTTCTTGAAACACTGATTACTGGATGGTTGAAAAATATTGAACCTTTAACTAAATAATTACTAAATGTAGCATAACGCCGATCGATCATTGATTAGTGGTGTAGTTAGTAGTAGTATCTAGTCTTGTCATGGTGTTTGTCGTCGGCCGAACTCTAGAAATATTAAAATAGAGTTAAATTTAGATTTATTATTGCTATTACTGTCAAAATATTCGAAGTTTCTTATCACTGACTGCCATTAATTAGACAAAAAGATTTTAGCGCTTCTTTCTAAACAAGTTACATATGGAATATGTATCATTTAATTATTCTCGTATAATTAGTTTATTATTAATACGGATGTTTTGTTGTTAAATATTATTGAGTGGTTTCCAATATTTTCGTTAATTTATACCTTTTCTGCTTGTCATACAGATAGCTTATATCGACTGATGTGTATTGCATGTACATATAACCATTATAAGTTTATTTATCTGATTATTGCTTATCAAGTTTTTGTACTTAATAAATCAATATATTCAGCATGCTTCTAATTAAGACATTTTCTTTGTATTTATCGCTTCGCAGTTATTGAGTCCTATCTCCGTATTCGTTTGTGAAGAAAAAGTAGTTCTTCAAATCGTTATATACTGTTGTGTATTCGTATATGTATTACATATACGAATTCACAGAATTATATGATGACTTACAGAACTTTCTCTGTTAGCGTATATGTATACATAACTACGACCACAGATCTCGAAGCAGATGGACTGAGGTTTAAATTCACATTTCGATGGCAGATAGTAAATTGTTTAAAATGCTGGACAATTACTCTATACTGTTTGCTTTATGTTATTTACAATGCTTAGTACTTTACTTTATTTCTATTCGACTGCGATAACATTTGACATAGGTAAGGTCACATGGTCAAAATGAAATTGATTTAGCACATTCTTTGATATTCATTTGATATTGCGTTTATACATCTTTGTAGTTTTTTAACCCTGTTAATTTGTTTAAATTTTAGGCACATAAACTAGTGATAGATAGTATAGGTGTTCTGTTTTTCATTCGGTTGTTATAATACTCTTTCACAGATCATAACATATTTATTCAAAGTAATCTTTATCGTCCTAAAAGACATCAGGTTTTTTATTTTATCTGATGTGAAAAACCGTATTCCCCCATAGTGTGTGTAATACCGGGATTATCTTTTTGAGATATCAGTTGTTTATGATTAGCTCATTTATAAAATCGTGTAATCCTAGGGAAAGCTTAAAATAGCTTTTCATAGAAATAAATACGGCAAGTTTTGATAATTGCATTTAAATAAAATAAAGTGAAACCTCACTTTTGCTGTTCCTTATTGAACGCTTACTGAATAAGTTTTTTTTCTCTGGTTTATTTATATGCTTCAACTGAGCTACTACCACAGTTTGGTGTTCAAAATCCATTTCATAAATCCCTATTTTGCATCATAACATTTAACCAAGTGGTTGAAATACCTTCCTCTTATTGAAAACTTTTTCTGGTGATATTTTTTTATTGTCAGTTGATTGCTATGTATCATTATTTTCATTTTATACCTATGGTTAGATAATATTTATCTTTTATTAAGTACACATCGTTATATTATTACTGTAATTTGGCATGGATTTTCCTTTATTTAGATTTATCAAACAGAAACGAGCAACGGGACGGTTTAAGAAATATTTGGGTGATATATTTTTACAGTTAGGTGATTTAGAAATGGCACAAATTCAGTATAATCTGGCCCTTGAACATTTAAAACCTATTAATGATACTTTGTGGATAGCAGGTAAGTTTATTTTCTAAATGTTTTATATTCCACGTATGATCTTTTGTTTGGTTGCATGATAGACATGGTTTTAAGAAGTGAAGTGTTATAAATGAATTTGTCCTCGTTAGATTTCATTTGTTTATGAAATCGTTAAACTATAAAATGATGCTTTTCTTGAGCAAATAAAATAACACTTTTGAATAATAATCATTGAGGGTTCTGATAATGGTATTCATCAATGTCTTGATTATTTAGTATGAATTGAAATTGAGAACAATAATTGTCGATGATTCGGGAACTTGCTAAAACTTCCTATAGTTCTGTCTATCCTTCAGTCAATTAAGGATCCTTATATTTACTGTGGTATGACGAACTTCTGGCATCTAGATCGGATTGGTTGATATGGAGTGTCAACTAAGAAAAGTTGGATAAGTTTGACAATAAACCAGTGTTAACAATGAATCATAGTTTCCTAAATTTTCTCTCTCCCTTACCGTAGATGTCTGTCTCCTACTTTAACTTCATTGTCTTGTGATTTCAACAATCATATCGAAAGTGTAAAAGGAGATATCCTAAAGAAATTGCCTGCTTACGTTTTGGTTCTCAAACAAAATCATTGTGACTAAACAAATGACACAGTTTTGTATTAAATTGTGTACGTTATTTATTATCCGAACTTAGTGATAAACAGCTGAGAGCCTGGTGCAAATGTATGTCAGCTCAAGTTACTATATCGCATTAGTTGTTGGTGGGACATAGATTAAATTAAAGCATGCTCAATGCACGATTGCGTTGGTGCACTCTGATGGGCTAATTCTTATCCAATCAGCGCTAGCCGATACTTGGGGAACACTAGAATCTTTCCATGTAAAAAATCATGAATATACTAACGCTTTCCCTACTGTGCTCTTTACTTCCATCTAACCCTGTTATTTAGAATATAATCTCTTTCCTGTTCAACCGTGCTCTGATTTGGGGACTTGTCGAGTGAATTGGTGTCCAAAACTACTAAACAATAGGATTAACTGGGTTGTAATAAGAGAGAATTATAACATTAATACAACAAGATAGAATTAGTAAGATGAATAGAATAAATGTCCAGATTTTGCCAATACCATTTATAGTGAGAATGATTAAATAATGGAGAGCACGGTTTGAAAATAAAAGATGAGTTCAAGGAATAGAAAGTATGAAATAATTTTTAAGTTCAGGATTTGGGAGAAATTAAAAATTGAATGCACATGAGCCACTGTGACTGGTTCCAAGTCATGCCACTCAACGTTTCCAACCACTGGTCATGATTCCTATGCGAAGTTCAACCAGATAGTTTGCATCTGTCAACGTCCGCGATGATGCCTTGGCGCGCCCATCTCTTGTTCTCTAATCTGCTACTATTCTAACTAACTATGTACTTCTAGGTAAAGTTGTCCGAATTAGCTTTCATGAGCGTTATTAATATTTTTACTCATCAGGAATTGGTAGATATACCTCTTCTATAATAAAATACTACCTTATGGTTACTTCACTTAATATTATCGAGTCATATCTTGACAGTAATCCTCGCAATAAAAAATCTATTTATAACTTGTTTTAACTATTTCAGGTGCTCTAGAAGGTCTTTGTGCAGTTGCTATGTGTCAACATTCTTCTGATCATTCCTCAAACCTAGGAACAACACGTTCGAAATTTCTTCAGCAGCGTCATCTAGATGATAATTTAACCAATGGTGAACTACGGAAATCACATTCCCAGGAATCAGATATGCTGGGTACGTGTCAATCTTCAACAATTACTGATAACTTACAGTTACATAATTTTGATAAAATATTTCGATTTTAGATGATTGTTTCCGTTTTGCAAATTACATTTAATTTTGTGTTGTACTTTACTTTATAACTGTTTAATTAATGGCTTTAAAGTCCTCTTAATTATTCACGTATCATCAGATTGTCTATGCAATATTGCGGACTGCTTTCTAGCTTTAATGACCTTTTACTTATAAATGATCATATATATGACGTAAGTTGCCAAAGGTTTCTATGCTAGTGCTAAAATTTTGTCAGCCATCATTCTGTTAAGTGAAAAACTGACACAAATCTGTCCTTAGAGGTTAAGACGTTTGACTTTCAAATACCAGGCTGCAATTTTGAGGCCTGCTTCACCTACTTCAGTTTGAGTATCCGAGTAGTATCACTAGGTCTCATACACAAAGCGAAGTTTTAAGCCCATTACACGAGTCTGTACTTGATGAGTTGCAGCTGAGCGACGTTTCCTACCAAGGGAGTATAATACACATACCAAGACTTCTTCCATTGTTAATCAGTGTGGAAAGAAGATTCTGTCAGCAATTGTAATAACACCTGGCTGTGTCGTCTGTATACATCAAGCGGATTCCTCACAAATGAGACAGTATTAACTCTAGTATCATGCCCATTATAAAATTAGTCAATAATAACAAATTTGGACAGTTTTAATGAGTCTAATCACAGATGACAGATGACGCTTCAATTTAACTATTAGTTTTTTGGTAAAAGTTATTTCATTTCGGTTATTCATCTTATGAAGTCTTCACAATTATGTACATTTTAATGGTATTAATTGTAATTCTTGTTTAAGAAACGTTGTATATTTGATAATTAACCTAGTCTATTTTAGATATTATAAATATTTTTATATCTGTGGTTTTATTGTAGCAATCCATACATCAAACTTTTATATCTACAATAAAATGATATTATAAAAATCATTCTTTGTTGTTACAGTCAATCTCAATAAACATGTTAGAATTCCATTAAAGTTAAACACGTCAGGATACAGTCCAATTAATTTGATCAATAAGACAGAAACGATGAATTAATTATTATTTAATTTCTTAATCAACTATTGACTAGAGTGTAGATTCATTGATCTACCAGTGTAAATGTTTTTGTTGCAATAAAGTGTGTTGGTTACCTTTCTGTTTCTGGTTATTACTCTGACTTATAATTTTTCTTTAAATTTCCCTTTTACAGAACATTCAACATCTTCAAGTTTAGATCTCGCTTCGTCAAAATTATACCACCCTCTTATAATATCATCCACTGATTGTTGTAATTACGCTTTGGAAACAATTGAGTTATACCAAAAGGTGTGTAGTGCTTTGCTCTTGTTGCACTTTTTTCCATTAATATGTACTGTTTAAGTAATACTAGATATCAGTGAATTATTCAGTAAGTCATACGCAACATAAAACTTGGCACATTCATTCTTCGGTTCAAGTTGTCACATACATTGGCACAATGAGAAAATTGTCAGGACAAATCCCAGAGTAGTAGAGGTAGTAACAGTATTAATATTGAGCGTTACATATACAATTTGAGAAAATATAAAAAGGCTTTTACGGAATTTAGGAACTTAAGATTTAAGGAAGCACAACAAGTGAAAGCATCTGTTCCATTGCGAATGATTTCGAGCTGTGTTACCCAATGTCTTTAATCATTGGTCATGATAATTACATGGACCACAGCCAGGTAGTTTGCACCTACCTATATGGCTTAGTCCATTAGTCAGTGTCTTCATAGACTGATGCCTCATCTTGGTTTGCCCATCACTAATTTTCTTCCCACCTATTTCTACAATGGCCATCATCGTACGTAGAAGCAGTTGGTGAACGGACAGGCGTAATACAGGTATTAACCATCTCAAGCAATAAAGATCCTTCATATCTCTAAATACAACTTTTTCCTTCATTTCAAAAAAATTAGTGAGATAGTCAATTACTGTACTAAGATTCTTCGTGTAATTCATCCTCCCAAAGTACCGGTATAAGATATTTCGTTAAAATATCAAATGTCCGTCGGAAAATTCATCCATGAAAACTCCCTACTCAAATAACAACTGATGGCACAAGAGCGTGGACATCTTAAAATGACATCATGTTGAATTAAACCGTCAATTTTCTAATTTCAGTCTTTTATGCCAGTAATGATAGTAAATGATTTTCAATTAGTTGAATTTGAGGATAGATTTCATCACAAACTGACATCAGTTTGAGAACTGCTGAAATCCAATTACTGATGGACATATCGAGGGTTGTCGTCTTTTCTCCATTCTAGAGTAGCCTTAAATTGAGAAGAGACAACTTATAAGTTCTTCTTGGTTTATCATTTATTATTCAGTTGGTGTCGTTCCACGACAACAGCTATTTTCAGGTTGAGCAGAATTCAAAAACCACCTACTTTAAACAACGATCATATGCTCACTAATGATTAGCTTCTCTATGAATTTCTTTGTGTTCTTGTAAAAGGCTGGACAACTGGAAATAGATATGTTTTGAATGAAATAGTTATTATAGATAATGTTACACAATAGTCGCAATATGTCACGAATTACAAAAAGTTAAAAATGTGAACTACTGGATTCCAAATCAGTTGTCTGAAAGTAACGGGCTCTCTGTAGGACTTAATGGTCTTGAGTTCCGTCCCTTATATGGTCATGGGTACGCTATCCTTCGGAACTCGAAACAGCTGTTTAGTGCTACCAAGTTTTCACTGGTATTCCAGTTCATATCAATCCATAATAAAAAGTAGCGTCATAATCACTTCAGTCTCCCATCCTATATAATTATTTGAATTAAAGTTTGTTTTTGTCTATCATACCATTATTGTTTGTTGTTTTATATTGGTATACTTTTTAAATATATTTAGGTTGAGTTAAATCCTTATCTTTTTGAGGAGTTCAAATTCAAAGTGATTCGACTACTTATCTCTGAATCAGTAAGTTTAACAGCAGCAGAAGTATGATACGAAATAATTTATTTACAAGATTGGTTTGTTTTCTGTTTTTGAAAATAACAGCTCTATGCTGAATCTTGTGACTTATTATTTATCACTATCTTGCCAACTGAAAATGTGCACTAGAATTTCAAATCCTTCCTAATTGTTAAATCGAAGACAGCTTAAACTCAACAATAACCTCATTCATCTTCAGCCACCCCCACATTAACGGATATGCTTTGTAGACTCGGACACGTTGGAAAGTGGCTAGAGGTGGTTAATTGGATGTTTTTAATATTTGACCGGACCACATGATATCAGCCAAAGTGATATGTGTTCACATAGAATATATAGTACAGATCTATGGATTCGCTAACTGTTAAACTGAACCACATTGGTAGCTGAAAAACAAGTTCCATGCACTTCTAAGTAAAGCATGTCAGTAATTTAAAGAGAATTTCCAGTGCCTCAGTCAGTACCTACATTTTATTTGTTATCATACAGGATACCCACATAAACAGTTACTGACCACTTCTTGAAGAAAATCGAACACCAAATACAGCGTACTGTAACTCCACTTCCCCATTTAACATGTTAGACACAATAGTTTGGATTTATCACTGATGACCAAACATGATTGATTAGCATTAACCACTCACTCCTACATGTTATCAGCTGTCAATAGTTTACTGCTTATTTAATTCACTTTTAATTCTCTGATAGAACATAACTCTCTTTGGAATTGTAGAGGCGACTATCTGATGACTATAGACATGAATAATAATTCTGTGGTTTAAGGTGTCATGATTAATACATCAGCTACTCAACACTGAAATTTTAGTATTACATATCGTAAATCAAATATTTTTGTTTTATATATTCATTGTCTAATCTTTAAAAAATATCACCTGTAAATATCGTCCAATATTTATAGCTATCAGCAACTGGCATTTTTGATTTCTCTAGTCCTAGTGACCACTTTTCTTGGTATCAGTTGTCCGAGTCCATTTTCGCTAAACGTTCATTGATCAATTAATGTTAATCAGTGTTTTGTAGTAAGAATGTTCTGTAGCCGACACAAAGATTAGTAATATGCTACTTTATGTTAAGAAGACACTCTACATATTATTGATTAGAGAATATATTTGGATCATGTGATTTTGTTTGATTCCATCATATTTTGAGTCTAAGTTTTTCTGAATAAAGTCTTTTTCATCTGCGCTTTTTTAGCAAAAGCGTAAAGCTTGTGAAATTCTTGATTCGTTGGTTGGACCATCTCTTTCCTCGTTTAGTACTGAGGTAGTTTACTGTTTTTCAGTGCGTTATTTTACTTAAATGTCTAACTATACTAAAAGATTTTGTGTAATATAAAATTATCCAATCAGTGATTATTGTTCAAAAAATTGTAATATGATTTGTTTGTTTGATTGTTGGATAGTTGAGATTGGAAGAAACTTAAAAAAAGGTTCATATAACATCGATAGTTATTGGGATTAGGTAAAATAAGTCAGGGAATAAAGAAGTTATTTATTATCAGATCTTCAGGATTTAAAGATAGATTTTGTCGACGACCGGTCTGTTGTCAGTCAGTCAGTTACAACACAGGACCAGGCACATGGCCATCGGTCTAAGTTACCAGACCTCATTAGCATAAGATGAACACCAAATCCATAGAAGCAATTACTTCATTGATAATAATATATAAAAGAAAGATTGCTTGTAAGGATATAATACCCGTTGTATTTGGTAAAGTTCCTAATTTAAGCAAAGTCATCTATAATCTCAGTTACTACATATAAATATCAGTATAGAATAATTTTGGAGTATCAACTTTCATATGTTTGTGTTGGGATATTCAGGAAAATATCCCAAAAATTATTCTATTAAGTTTAATGCTGTTCTTGGACTTGGAGATGGTATTATTTCCTCGTTGGTCAATATTCATTTAACGTGTCATTTTCCTACTGGTCAATACTGTACAATGTTATTTTCTATTTTATGGTACGATGTGGTCTGCTTGATTAGTATATAAACAGAGTGTGTTTGAAATATAATGATTCATATATCCGAGACTGAGACTTGTGTTCTGGACTCAACCGGCTAGGCTAGACAGGGAAGCAGGACCAATTAGAACCCTAGGCCGTTCTACGTGTTTGCGCGTCTTTGGTCCGATCAATAATTCGCTATCCTCTAATCTGCTGCCGTCACACAGTTATAGTAGTTTGTTACCAGACATATGCAGAAATCCTTAGGTTTTTGCCCGAGTTAATGATGAGATCGATGATTTTTCACTATCGGTCTATTTAAAACACATCATAAGCAAGAAATCGATCCCTCCAGAGTCACTAATGAACGACATTAATTGTATATCAATGCTTACATGATAGGGCTAATCAAAAATAGACACACCGAGTATCCTCAGCGGATACCATCCGTTTTACGCATATAACATGTCTCCATGTAAATTCACGCAACTGTTTAGGTTTAAATATCCTGTCTTAAGTAAAATTAAATTTCCGAGATTTTCTTCGAGATCAATTCATTGTCAAAGGATATTTCGATCATATGTGCTGTTTATATGGATTCAAGATAGCGTGCACAACTTTTCTTCTAGCTAACTAATAACAACAATGTATGTATATTTAAAACTCTTAAATCATAAAAATGCTATAACAATGAAACTTAAGTTAATTTTGCTCAGTAATGTCAGTTAATTTCCATTTCATTATTGTGTAATACTTTTAAACTTGACTATTTTATTCTAAATCATAAAATAATATTAGAGTTTTCTTAAATCTATTAATCAATTAAGAAATAAAATTTAACATTCAATCAATTTATTTATCCCTTTTTGTATGAATACTTGATTTTCGATCATCGTATAACAGTTCTAGTAGGATATATTGTACATGTAATACAATGTGAACAGATAGACAAGTAATGTTATTACTCCTTACATACTTGATGTACTTCATAATCTAATAAAAAAATGCTTGTTAACAGCATCTTTTGACAGCGGGATTGAATAACACATTATTATTAGCCCTTTAATCAACCATTATACCTGCTAAATTAATTCTAATTAATTGCATTGCATATTGTTCAATAATTATCTCGAACTAAATGAAAATGTGACAAATAAATATTTATACATAATTACTTAATCTTCAGCTAACGTAAACCAGCTGAGACGTCCAATACATTACTGGATAGTTAACAATACGTGAAAATTGCATATCATCAATCGGTTTCTTTCCAATGATCAAGTAGTCAATCAGTCATTATCAATATAGAGCTTTAAATAAATTGTGTTACCCGGATTTGCTATACCATAGTAGCGCAACGAGATTAAATTAGTAAGGTGACTAGCGAATTACGATGTAACAATGACAGTGAGAAAGAATAAGCATCGTAAATATGATTCGACATCAAGGTGTATCTATAATATAGCTTTCATTTTGACTTAACGATATTTGGTTTTCATTTTTTTTGTTTTTCCATCTGTCTTTTCTATTTATCTTAGAATCCTTGTTCAATGAAACGTTATTTCACTATTGTTCGTTTATATAAATTTATGAATTTCAATCGTAAGGCTAGTTTAGCCCTATGGCTTTTATTATCATCAAATCGACTGAATAGTGTTGAATTTGAGCATGAAATTTTATTTAATGGTTTAAAAGTTCAATCACTTTCATCGAATATTACGCAAATGACTGAAACGAAACTCCTAAATGGTGATGACGATACTACTATTAATACCACTACTACTACTAATAATAATAGTAATAACATCACTAATAAAGATTTAAGCTATTTAATAAATGAAAATAAACCACCAGTAAACGTCACCTATCGTTTAATTGCATATCCCCCATTATGGAGTCCATTTGTTATACCTGATCAATCACATTGGTTAATTCGTCTCACCACAACGATATCAAATTCATCAACGCTTTCAACCAGTCTATTTAATAATATAATTAAATTAAAATCCATGTCTAATAATACACGTCATATTAATTCAAACATGAGTTCTAATTCCAATAGTTTATATTCATCAAAATCATGTCTACTATTCCGTTTAGTTGGTTGGTGTGATTTACAATTGAAAGTCATATTTTACTTAATTAATGAATATAAAGCAAAAATTAATCTGGAAGATATATCTGAAATTCCATGGGATATTGGATTAAAACTTATTGGGTAAATGAAAAAGTACAATTGTGAATTGTTAAATTTTGATTCATTATATATATATAACGCGCCAGCGTGCTTTATACTTGGAAGCAGTTAAGCCATTAAGTTATACACTTCTTATACATAACGTATTACTTACAAAGTATTATTGTACATATAGTATGGTCTTTTGAATAAGATGCTTTAATATGTCACCAACTGTTTGTTACTATTGTACTAATGAGATTGTAAAGCAAATATTAATCTTCTCACAATTCTACGTCAATCATAATCATAGGTTTCTGCACAGAGTAAGCCTAACTTTAAATTTTTTCAACTTCTTTTAAACACTCAACGTTAGAAGTCCCATATAGGTTATAGAATGAAAATTGTTTCTATAAACTCTACCGTGTATTTTTTATGTTTATTTCTGATTAATGTGAAGGTGTATATGGAAACGTTGATATCTTATTTACATTAATAGAAATATCAAGTATATAGTTCGTGCAATGTGTACTATTGAAAACCTTTGACTATCCAATAAAATTTCATTTATTGGCATTTTGTTGTTTTAAAGATTACAAAATATATTTCTAATCATCAACTTGTCAATTTAATTAATGAGTTTGATCAACTGTTTGAAAATGAGTTTCGAAAACAGTGATTTAAAGAAAGGTATATCCTAACAGCACTTTGTAGAAACGCACTGGAGGATAAATTATAGGCGTAGTCTTTCTTGAATGAAGTAGTTAGGTATTGTATGCGAAATAATTGATATAATATTCAAAAACTCACATTAAATTTCTTGTTCATATTTTTGGTAAATAGATCAATAAATTAAATGCTACTTTATCCAAATCTTCCCCGTCATAAAAAAATACTATAGGGGTCGTCGATAATTATCAAGGGGATTCGTATTCACTGTGGAAAATCTTATGGAGGCTTTATTCATGTGTAAGGTTTCAGGCAGCATTTTATTTATTTATTATTTTAACACATAAATATTGGTACAAGGAGGCACCAAATACATATGTGCCACACAAATCTCATTTGATATGTGCGAGGGTTATGATACTCTTTGGATGCCCGAACCGAAACAGGTGGTTTTCTTAGGTGGCCACACCCCGAGCCTTCGACCTGAAGGTCTGATCCACAAGGCAGTGGAGAAACGTCAGGAGATGCAGTCCCATGGAAGCCGGTGACCAATAATTGGTTCATACGCCATTTGTTCCCTCGGAACTGGAGCCCATGTTCACCATTGGTTTTGAATCAGGGTTTTCCAACTTCCCTAGGTGGACTCTCCATGTCCATTAACCCGGTTAAAGCGCCAGATATTCGCTTTTCGTTCTCTCAATTTCGTAAAAAATACCGCCACGAGAAGGCAATGGGTAGGACTTCCCTGGCAGAGGCTATATACGCGTGGCCATGTGAGAGCATTTCGAGAGGGTGAGCGGACTCTCCCCACTCTCGGCCATACTAGGGCATTTTGGGGCTAACAGTGATTATCCGCGGTGCTGTTCGCGGGATTCGAACCCAGGGCCTTCGGTCTTGCGCGCGAACGCTTAACCTACTGGACCAGGTAGCAACCATTAGTCTTAACACAGGATCATCGATCAATTTGTTTGATTCAGAGAAAAACGTTAGTTCTTGCTTTCATTCTTCCGTATGTACATACACAAATATTACCCAGTATTATAAACTATTTCACAATGGTCCTTATGAAACAATTTAAATATTCACTCCTGGTATCATAATGTATTGCTTTTTATGTATTTCTATTCTGTTTATTTGTTTTCATTTGATGAGCTACCACTTCATCCATATCTGTCTGAGACTACTCTTTTGTTTTCAAAAAAATTATTTATAGATACTGTTTCTCTGTACTGGACAGTTGGCCTGAATATCTAGAAAAAAGTAGTTGTATATCTTGCATGGATGATTTATGCTGTTTAGCGGTACTTCGTTGTCCAGACCAACCAACTAATTTACCTAGTATAACTTTATTAAATTATTCTACTCAAGAAAATATCCGTTCTCGTAGATGGCCTCGTAATCGTCGTGTAGTTTATTCACCAAGTAGATTTTGTTATTTAATGAATAATAACAATGAAGAAGTACAGACGAAAGTGGTCGAGAATAAAATGTTAGATTTGGTAGAAATACCAGTGCATCAGTTACCCTTAGTTAGGTAAGATATTTTTCTTAAAAGTCGTATCTGTGCAGTAGTGCGTACAAAAGTTTTGTCATGTAATATCTTTGAAATTTAAGTTATATACTGGAGAATATTTGGGAAACTATCAACCCAATGAAATTGTTTGAGGTTGAGGATATTTTGTGATGTCTCAGAATCTTTTTCACTATTACTTATTTTGCATCGGTTCGATTCATTTGCTACTTATTCTCTTAATTTCATCTAATCGTCCTGATGTGGTAAGTCGAGCCAACGCACTTATGTACCGGGCTCGACGTTGCTTATGATTAACTAAGTGTCATTTGTAAAAATTAATTGCGATTTCACGATACTATTTTTTTTGTTTTACTCTCCTTACTTTCTTCTGAAACAAATAACAGACTTTAATGTTGCTTTTCCATCTTTACAATGATAATTTAATCTATTTTGCAGTCCTAAAAGTTTTAGCATTCAACTTTAGGTTCAATTGATCAGATACTAATGGCCCTTCTCATAAATACATAGGACATTATTGATCAGTTATTGATTGCTTTTAGTAGCCTGTCAACATGTGTATTAAACTTTATTGTCAGATATATCTCTATATAAATAATCTAAGTATCTGCCTTTTAACCATTAAATCAAATATTTTAACCTCACTACCCCAACCCTCGTACACGCTTACTTATCTTTAAGAATGAGGGCAAATATGAAAACTTGGACTTAGTAACTGAATTGTGACTGAATCGAAATTACTATCAGAAGAGAATAAAAATTTCCAAAGTACTTTCAGCCACCTTATGAATTATTTAACACATTACAATACTGTTTATCTAATTTAATTACATATAAGTCAATGTAGCAGTTTTTTTTCTCTGACAATTTAAAATTTGTAAGATGTAACCATTATCAAAGTTTGACTTTGCTTTATAATGTGATGAAAAATGATCATCTATTTAATTTCAATCTAAAGAGTGAGAACAGTATATCACTACTGAGAATTCTTCTTATCCTTAAAAACGATAAATTTGTTGATAGCTATCGTTTGATTTCAAAAATGATGTAACCAGCGATATTCTAATGATTCGATTCAGAAAATTTATCTGATACATCGTCATTGAGATTAATTTGTAGTGCTAATAAAACGAGTTAAGATGTAAGTGACCTTCAAATACTGTGTACACTCGATCTCTCTTGTATATCTATTCACATAACTCACTCGCAGAAAGCTATCTTTGTACACCTGTAAACCTGTATTGATATGGTTTCTGAAACAGATGGATTTGTTTCCTATGGTATACTTTCCTATCTAATTTTTGAGACAACGCATTTTTAGGTCACCTTACTGCAGCTTTTACGAACTTTATAGTGATAATATCGGTCACTGGGTGGTTCATATTGTTAGATGGCTAAATGCAATTTGTAAGTTTATCACCTAGTTATTCAGTTATTTTCCCCAAATCATTTTATAGACTTTGAATAATCAACTTTTATTGTCTTTGCAACTACTCGTAAGTAACATGCTTCATGAGTGACGTGTAATTGAACAATAATTACGGTTTTGAAATATGTAAGTTATTGCTTAAGTTCATAAATAATCGTATTACATTTTTTTACTCTCATTTTAAGATTGATCAATATACCTTCACTGCCAAGTAATCTGTTACCTCACACAATTTCTAAAAACGGAGCGGAGAATGTAGTTTCATTGAATAGATCTCGTACAGTTATTATTCGATCAGATCGAAATAAATCAAAACCACCGGAATCTAACAACAATATAGAATCATCAAAACCCACTGATCCATTTGTTTATAATCCTTTTCAAATGGATAATTCTAGTGCAACTAAACATTCGAGTATGTGTTATTCTTTGAATTAATTTCACAGTTGATTTTACATTTGTTTTTTTTCAAACATTCACGGACTCCTACACTTTTTTTCACAAGGCATTTCTTGGTTAGAGTAGAAACGCAGCTCAGTTGGTGATCTACATATAAACGTTGAGCCAACTATGTCACGCATTTAAACATGTATTATAACTTAATTGATCTCTAATTGTCGTGTATAGTAATTTAGAAAATGCGTGTATGTGTGACGGCAAACCGAACACAAAAATATGAATATCTGATTGTCTAAGTGTTCCTTCGAAATTCAACTTAATGTTTATCAGTTGGTTATGATGGTGACATTTACTAAATGATCATGATTCTTTACCTCATTTGTTCTATATCCATAAGTTTTATCTGTTGTGTTGGAGTCTTTTATTCCGCTTGGCGTACATCCATATCATAAAATTTTTATAATTGTTTGGGAAACTGATTTATGCTGTGATGTTAAATATATCACCTCTTACGAAAGGCATGTTTATATTTGCTGAAATAACTGTGCATAACTATGATATCTTCATACTTTTCACAATACAGTACATACTCATTCGAAATTAATAATCTTTATTATTTTAACTTTTCTCATCATGCACTAAAAAGCCTCATGTTATTCTCTAAAATAACCACATACAAATTGTTATAAATATTCTACTTAATAAGTGGTCGAACTAAAAAAGTCTCTGTATATTAAAGCGAAATTTTTCTTTGTCATTTTCTGTAACATTAAAGGATTGTCATAGCAGTGTATATGCAATACATTATTGTTTGTATTTTCACACCATAAGCTGTTTAAAACGACAAATTTCGACAGTCTGCGTAACCTATTTCCTCTACAACACTAACATTATTATTTATTTGAATAATAGGAGAATCTGTTTTTGTTCATTCATCCATTAATCATCAGAAATACGCTATTTTGATGTATAATTTATTGGACGTTTTTGAGATTATTTTGATCACTATAGATTGAATTTCTGCTGCGCCTTGATAATGGAATATATGTATATGTAGTATGTCATTTGTGTTTTTTTTTTGTATCATGTGAGTAACAAAGTTGTGGCTTAATAAAGTAAATCTCTGTCATTTTGTAGTTTTATACCATGGAAAGAAAGTATCTTATACTTTACTGTTGTAGTCAGTTTTGAGGACATATATAAGATTATTAATTGTTATTCAATTGTTAATCTTAATTTGTCTATCAGTCATGTGAAATTTAAAATAAACAATTATTTAATGAGAAATATACGTTTGGATTCAATATTCTACAATATGATGTTGAATATGATCAATTTTTCATAGCTTGTTTCAATATATTGATTTACATTTTTATGTACATTATGGTTACTGATTTTGGAATTCAGATTTGTATATATTTTCTAAGTACAAAATTGGTTAGGTTTTTTAAGCTTTGAAGGTATTTCATATGTTGTCGGGTTATTGAAATACTTTTAGGATTCAGTTGAACTCAAATCCAAACTATCCTTGTCTTCTTGCTACTGAATAACTTATCAACATGTAGTTCAATATGACAGTGACTTACCTATGTCACCTATAAATTAACTTCGATTCACAGGCAACTTTAATGTGGGCAACTACACAGATATTTCTCTGTTTGAATTAAACCTTCACAAACTCTATCTTTCAGAGGTATATAAGTTACGAAATAAACTCGTAATGAAAGTGGAACAAGTTATATCGAGAAATGCATACGAATCCCTATGAATATTGATTAATTCAAAATCATTATTCAGAAATACGAACCATGCCATAAAAATATTTATGTCAGTGTAATGATAACTATCATTACTTATTTACTCAGTAGGTAATGATATAGTGTTTGAACAGAGTATATATCAAACCTCACTTTTATTGGGGTCTAGTCTTTCGCAAAAATAATGGAACTCATGCTCAATTTAATTACTAATTATTATAAGAATATAAAGCGCTTGAATTATCCATTGAATAACACTTTATTTTTTTTACCTTTTCATACCATCTTCAACTTTTGTTCCATTCACTGATTGTTTTTATGGTTTTTTTATTACAAGTAATCGATTGGGTTTGTGAAGAACCTGGATACATAGAAATGATAGTTGATAACAAGCTCCCAGTTGATTTAAGAATATCTGATTTAGTAAGTGCTTTTTGTGTAATGTACTTTTTCGTATGAACTAAACAATGTGTGCGTGATATTCTGTTGATAATCAACACCACAATATCCATCGAACACACTTGGTTATGAAAACACTCAATAAATGGTAAAATTTGACACTAGTTGCATCTGGGATAGCATTCGTAGAAGTATAATCAGGGATTATGATGAAGCATTGTTCACCACATTACTTTCAAATTCAATTAAACTTTGTGGCATGACCGTTCAGAAACAATTAATGTTAGAGATATGTTGAAGAATTACAATTTCAAATTTGATATTAACTGTTAATATATATTTTAGTGCTATTCGATATAATACATAATCATGTCATTAGAAAATGACATATTGTAAACGATCTATTAGTAGAGTACAAAATAAATATAAGAAATTATTCGATTAAGAGTGAATTTAGAAAATCTTAGTATGTTTACATGTTTATTTTCTTATTCACGTCTAGTTGGTTATCTAAAGTTATATATATTTATATATATATATAAAGAGTCTTCATTAGATATATGATTATTGTTGTTTAATCTAGAACTAAATTGACTTTCAAACTAACCTAAACTAAATCAAAGCTTATAATTTTTCATTAATTTGATTAGTTTTAATAAACTAAATTATAAAACTAACAATATGCTTTGAGAAATGTTATTAAAGCGAAATCAATAATACACGGTTAATTGAATTAAAGAACTTGCAATTTTCACAGCTTACATATAAAATAATTCATTGTAATGATTATATTCATAATGAATAATAATACAAATAATTTAATTATTATAATGTAGAATATTTAATGACATTCTAGTTTGAAATAGGTTATGATGTTATGTATATCTCATAAATTATTCATTTATGAATGTTTCTAAAAAGTATGTCACAACATCATGTTTTATTCTTTGAAATATTTTAGAATGAATCTGTCACACAGCATTGATCATACTCATCTTACTCTATCCAATAATTTTGAACAGTATAAAATTATAAAATTTTAAATGCTTCGATCATTTTCCCTTTGTTAGTAAAAAGTATTTTTCTTTACTTCGATATTATTCTTATCTCCAATGTGTTAATAATAATAATAGTTCGCATTCATTTTTATTAGTTGTTTGAATGATACAAGCGAATGACTATCCAGATTCAGTAGATAAGTGGATAACGTGACAAAGTTTGATTCGAATGGTACTGGGTTCAAAAGTCCCTGAGTAAGCATCAGTTCTGTAATGCATGCATATTCAGCTGACTAGTCTCAAGTGAGACGAAACATGCGTTTTAAATTCGACTGTTAGACACTATCCATCTATGTATATAATTGTTACTATTGTTTCTTTTTTTAACGATTTAATTACAGCATGTTGAATTGATGCCAGTTAATATTGGATTATCGACTAAGGAATCATCATCCAATCGTGTTTCGTCATTGACTTCCGATTATGAATCATCATTTGGTGGTGGTTCTACTGTAAACAATGAATGTTCAGATGCTTTATCAAACCTAATTCATTTAGAAGCAATATTTTTAACTGTGGAAACTCCACAATCAGTTAAAATACTACCCACTTCACATTTGAGTAATCTTGATCTTGGAAATGTGAAACATCAAACAAAAGAGGTATCACTAAATTCATTTTATTTTCATTAATGAATTTTGTGACATTTGTTTTCTTGAAAAAACCTGCTATACTTGACACGAATGTTTAAAGTAATTTTGTAATGAAGTTTAAGATTTTACATTTCCTTTTACAAGACAGACAAAAAACAAAGAAAATAAGTGATTTCATTGCATTTATCTGTGTCAGGACACTTTAATTCACTGATAAAATTATCAGAATGAATTTGTTGGTCAAATGGTTACTCGCTTCACAAAATCAACCTACAAATCTTAATTGTAGAAATTCTAAGTTGCAAGATAATTGACTTACTGGTTGAATGCATATTGCTCATAAAATTTTTAATAAATATACTGTGTTTATGAATTATATCTTGAATAACAAAATTAATTAGTTAATCATTGTTATAACTTGTGACCGCCGATTACAGAGCAGTGACTTATCGATCGGATCAATGACGCGTAAACACGTTCTGATTGGCCCTGCTTTCCGCCTAGCCCAGCCAGTTAAGTCCAGAACACAAGTCTCAGCCACTGCGATATGAATCATTATATTTCAAACATACTCTGTTTATATACCAATCAAGCAGACCACATCGTACCATAAAATAGAAAATAACATTTGTACAATATTTGGCCAACAGGAAAATGACACGTGAAATAAATATTGACCAATTGGAAAATGATACCATCTCAAGTCCAAGGATATCATCAGACTTAGCAGAATAATTTTTTGGATTTTTTTCTGAATATCCCAACAATCATGTAGATGGTAGTAGCGAACCGAGCATTAAGGTTACGATTCCGTACATCTTTTAAGTGTAAAATATTATTCATTTCAAATGTTTCTATCTACAAATATTGTAAAAAATTAATGATAAAAGTGGTGAACGGCATGCTGTAAATGTAACCAATTATTAAAAATGCTCACTATATTACTTCATCTTTTCATCTCTGATAACCCGTATTCATACACTTGTTACCCCATGCTCAGGAATATGCGTTAATATTTTCCAGCAGTATCATATAACATCTAGTAGGTCATTGAAGTTGTTTCAAGTGTTCTTTCAAACTCCTATCTTGCTTAGTCCAAATATTCATTGGTTCAGTGCTAGCTGGTTGGCTTGCTAGTAATCCCCCAGATTTTTCGAGAAATCTCCAGTTCTTTTAACGTCGAGTAGTCAGTTACGCAATCTAATTGCATTCTCATCAAACTTTTTATTACATAATTTACATATAAAACATATTACAATGTTATATACTTGTTGATGTAATGTATTGGGTTTTATAATATAATACAGAATGGCTTCTATGGTCGTCTGGAAAGCGGTTGTCTTTTAGAAGAAGCTGAATTACATAGACAATTTCCTTATTCCAATACAGAATGCTTTTGGCGGCGAATTAATTCAGATGTAAACTGCAGATTACCATCTCATACTAATGGAATTAAACTGTCGATTGGTGTAGTACCAACTTTAGATTTGTTAACGTCAAGTACTTCATTCGATGATTCAAATACATGTTTACATGTAGGTATTTTCTCTCACGTATAAATGTCCATATAATACTATTCCTTCTTTTATTAATTCTAATGGTTATGTGGTGTTGTTTATAATTTTGAGTTGTTTCGTTCAAATAAACCCTGATGAAAAGTTCAATGGATTATTATTTTAAGGTAATATAAATAATTAAAAACTTATAGCATTACAATTGTTGAGCACTTCTTAAGTTCTTCAAACCTCTAACTTAACAGTCGATTTACATGACTAACTGTCTCTTCATTCGATTTACTGGTTTAAAACCATTCTGTTTATTCTGTTTTAAGCCTAAAAACAGAAATAATATCCTTCTTGTATTTATATAACTCAAAATAGAATATTCATTGAAAGTTCATTTTGTTGTGTTATGAGCGTTTAGTTTCTCAATAATGTGAAATCAACTCTTTTCATAAACTTAAATTTTTAAGATTTTTACCAATTTAATCAACCTTCAAAAAAGTGAAAAGAATGCTATCATTTAGTTGGATCTTATCATATCCATCATTCTATATGATATCTTGTCCATCATATTAAATAGTTAACTTTTATCATTCACTGACTATATTTATTTTTCTTGTTTATTATTACTATTATTTGTAAAGTATCGAGTTGTTGGCATTACTTATCGTCTAGTCGATTGTGGTGGAATGAGAGTTTGCCTTAGACCATCTGGAAAATTTCTTTATTCCTTGTCTTCACTTGGGGAATCATCTAGTAGAGGACGTGAAAGACATCCAAGTGGTTCTTCATCATCTACTTTTTCAACTATTCGATCTTCATGGAATTTAGGTTCGGAACCTATATGTCCTAATGGTATTTCAAATATATCCGAATTTGATAGTGAACATTTACTATCGAATTCATTGGGAATACAATTTTCATTATTACCACTTATTAGATTACAACCTGCAATGCCACGACTGTGTATGTTTCCAGGTCGCATTTGCAGCGCATTTGATTTACATGAAGCTATTGATATATTGAGAAATGAATCAGCTAGTGAACATTCATGTGATGTTACGAAACAACTCCATTCACTTGGTCTATCAAAATTTCATGTCCCTGATCCTTCAGAATGGTGTAATCGTGTAGCTGCTGTGGTAAGCTTTAAGTCAAATTATTTTCCATCAAAATTGTTATACTGGTGCTAACCGTGTCATAAATTAATATTTTGCTAATGTTTCATGGTTATCAGCCACTAGATAATTTATAGTAAGTTACAAACAATTTTCAGTCAATCTCCGTAGTAGTTGAAATACGTGGATAAAGCGTTAGTGTTCAACTTACGGCTCTAAAATGGCATTAATACTAAAAAATGAAGAAACGAATTTGACATAGATATTTGAATTTATTATAAATTGACCAGACGTAAACTTATTCACCTAAATGGCAATTATTAGTCTGCCTTTTAAAAATCCATATTTTCCTTCGATACTTGAATACTATGACACATTTTCTTATTTTAGCTCCGAGTACTCTAAAAGACGAATCTTCCAAGAAAAATTTGCATAATAGAGACTATAGAGGATTCATTTAAGCAAACAACATACGCGTGCAGTGGAGTTGGAAATATTTGAAAGAATCGTGGACCATTGAGAAAATATAATCTTTGAATGGAGTAAAAATGAAGGATAGTTTCTGTGATTAGTTTTGGCTCGACTGAAAATAGAAACTCAGTGTTATAGGATAAAGACAAAACAATCAGTAAGCCGGTGGTTTCCTGGGTATTTGAAATCCTCAATAATTCTATCAAAAATTGTCTTGTGAACTGCAGGCAAAATTTATTTACAATGACAAAGAACTGAATAATACTTAGCTTAATCTTGTAGACATTTAGGTGAAATACTGAACTTTTTGTTCTTTTCGAAATCGTGTAACAATGAATTTTCCAGAATGTTCGAATAGAGAAACCTAATTTTTTTCCATCTTCCTAGTATCCGTGATCCTTAATTAGCTTTCATCAAATTTGCATGAAATTTTCAATATTTTGAACAGATCTTATCAACTTGATGAAAAACTATAACTGTTTACTTAAGAATTCACAATGTTTTGTTTATAGCTTTGCACATTCACTATACTATATTCATTTAAAGTTCACTTATTAATAATGTCCTGTCATTAAATCTCCAAGTTGTCAGAAATAATCTATTTGTATAATATCAGTCATCAAGTTGGTAATCTAAGCCATGCCAGCTTTATGTGACGAAAGTAATCAAGAGAGAAAAATCAATCGTTGAAATTCTTTGTAGTATGATTCATATTATATTGTGATAATTCAGACATGTGAAGCCTTTTTCTTACTATTAGCAGTTACCTTCATTGTTTATTGAAAGTCTATCTGTTTCATGTCTTATTTTGTTTGTTTATCCTTCACTGAAGAAATCATAGCACAAATACAGAAGAATTGTTTGGTATTTACTAATCTGTTTCACTCATGGAGCCTGTCAAAGGGAGGCCATATAACTAATCGATTTTCTCTTTCCAACTCTGTAACCATCAACCATACCATTTGATGTTAGTAGATAAAGATAGACTAGGTATACTTTAGTGTGTCTTCATAGCAAAGCTTTTGTAGAAAACTTTCGAATGCCTAAGCTTAGAATTAGGTATAAAGTTCTATATTAGTCAGATCGTTGGAAATGAAGTAAAGTCTGGTACAGATATTTAATAATCCAAGTTGCTCCGCTTCATTCCAGCCTGATGAACCACGTTAATTGGTGAGGTTTTTAACCTACATCGACTTATCTGGCCGAACCATTTGTTAAGGATACATTCACTCGTATCTGAAGTGCAAATAGGTTGGGAAACGATTAAAGATAGGGAAAATAACATGTGTTTGCGCCATTGACTAATGTCATAAGGCAGTAGGGAGATGTGAAAGTCTTTATTGGGATTCTTCAAAACAGCGTAAAGCAGTGACACTTGATAGGATAGTCCCAAGTCATTATCAAAGGAGCAGAGATATCCATTATTTGCCTTGCATTTCTTGACTATTCTGATTATTCCTAGTATTTCGTTCTTCCGGCACGCTTTTTATATATTTCGTTTATCACATTACATTAGTGTTTGTTCTCATCACGCCGTCACAAAGTGTGATGACTCGAACTGATACATATATCTTCGAGCGAGGTTCAGCGTTGATTGTTTCCTTTACCTCACTTTTTTATGATCAGTTTTTGCGCGTCTCTTTTTTGTTAATTTGCAGTTACGAAATGGTTGTTTTGATTTATGATATCTTCAAATAATTTATTAATGCTTTAGATTTTGCTTCATTTGTTTATATTTTCATTGCAAAATCACTACTGTATCAAGACTGTCTACCAGCAGTTATATAGTTGAAACTTGATAAAAGTTAACTTAAATATCAAATATCAATTTTGTAGTTATTAAGGATAAGTCCTAACAACATATGTCCTCTACCATTAAATCATTAATATTAATAATTCGTTATACACTCATCATCTGACTTTCATTTGCCTTTGTATCAGAGTAGATCTATTTTTTTACTCCTTTCGTTTTACATATAACTAATGCTAGCAATATGTAATATTCTCATTGTGATTATTATTGTTCTTAATAATAGTGCTATCCATATACTGAATTATTATTTTATTACATGAATTTTTCACTTTATTTAGTTGGATTTAACTATATTTCCATATGAAACTAGATGGTTACCCATCGAATTATATATTCGCGATGAAAATAGATTCAATGTTTCAATAAATAATATTAATAATAATAATAATAATCCAGAAAGTAATTATGATTTTGATAGTAATTACTCAATTAAACGTAACCTAAACTTGTTACATGTAAATTTAAAATCAGTTTCATCAAGTTTATCATTGTTAACCAAGCTAAATTTAAATGCAACTGATTTTATTCAATGTATCGGTTTAGAAGATATTCGAAAAAGAGTAAGTTTAAATTAATGTTTTACGAATTTCATTCAGTATGTGAATACTTTTTAAATGGATTACAAGAATGTTTTATCTTACATACACCCAATACTCATTGATACCTTGAATATATTATTTGTTGTTATTTATTTGAACACATGAACATTGGCACAAATGAGCACTAAAGTTTTTATGCAATACAATAAAATAAAATTGTGAAGTGATAGGGAAAAGAATATCAGGTAGATTGGTGAATCTCAAGGGTTTTTCCTCAATTGTTTATTTATGTTCGATGTAGGAAAGCAATATTAAAAATAATATAAGTTTAATCTGTAGGATTATACTGCGATGAAATTAGTAAAGCTGATATTTAATGAGTAAGTTACTTTCTTAAGGCAGTTTGTTATATGTATACAAAAATCTAATTTTAATGACGGAAATTTTTCTTTGATAAATTGGCGTTTTGACTGGTGGGAGATAAGTTTTTCACATGAATGGGTCCTGGCGTAGTTAAAGAAACACGAGTAATGTTCTGGTAATATTATTTTTGACTGAAGTGCCCTTTTTTGTAAGTCTTTGGTTAGTAGTCTTATCCAAGATCATACAAGTATTCATAAACTTGGAAAGTGCACCGATTGACCGTTCAGATTCTTTCAGTTGTTCTGCAGGTAAATGTGAATCAAATCTGAACAAGTTAAGTCGGGAGAATTGTAGGTTCATTTTATTAAAGCGGAAACAGTGATACGAACTATCCAAAATGTTAGTTGCTTTCAGTTTCGAATGCCTCACCGGTTTAAGTGGGGCTTTGCCAAGTACATTATGGCTATTCATGCTATTTTCAAGGAATATTCTCTTAGCAACTTCTTTTGCAATAACGTAGACGACAGATCCGTCTTTAATAATGTCTTCAAAGTTAGCAGGAACTCCATGCTTAGACAATAATAGCTTAAGAGTTCATAAAGCTTACATTTCTTGTTTGGCATCAAATGTTGATGAAGGATTCAGGCAACTCCAATTCAGAATGCATATAGCTTAGATGCTTGTGTACATTGTCTAGTTTGTTTTTTAAACTATCTATGCCATAGCTTCTTTCTAGGGATGATGTATGTCCATTAGGTATTACATTCATGCATTGTCATATGTGGTGTGATTCCGATCATGACAATATCAGTAACATAAGAAATCACTGGGCTTGAGATGTAGTTATTAACGGAGTTACTATTGACCGAGGTATTAGGGTTTTTTTCAGGCTCGTTATCTCGATAGCCGACCCATTTCGATGGTAATGCTACCGTATATGTGGTTTGTTTTGTTATTTACTGAAAGTATAGAATTAGGGTGAATTTTTTTACAATAGCGTGATAAAGTAGTTTTAGAATCAAACGCGTAGGAAATATGATAATTCATAATATACTCTTATGCTTTAACTTCCGTACTCTAGTGTAATAAATAAATGTTAAATATAATCAGTTTTCAGTTATAAAATCATGTTTACATATGGCGTGTTTGTCAACAAGGGTTGAAATAATTGATTATCTTGTCTTTAACCGTGGGAAAATCACATCACTAATATATTGTTTTTTCTGGGTCTGGTTCATCTTTTGAAAAAAAAAACTACATAAGATCTTCGTTTTATACATAGATATTGTAGACTATTCTATTTCAGTATGTGAAGCAGTTGTCACCAATGGCATTCGATGCTCTTCGCGCTCTATCACAAGTTGATTGAAGTTGTGATTGTACTAATGAATGCTGGGTCAGTGATTCTAATCCTTTTGCGTCAACTTCAAGGATTAATATTTCAAGGTCAAATTCCTGACTGAGTCATGGGTAGGCATCACTGGAGAGTTCCGTACTAGGACGCAAAAGCTGTCCGTTAGGCTCTAGTTTTATACGGTACATCGACTGAGATCAATCTGTTTCGAATACCAAAAATATCACAAATATCTATTGACTTTATTAATAACATAGCATTGTCTAATGTTTCTTCATATTTTTTTAAAATTTTATTTTTGTCAGTTTCCTCTCCCAGTTGAAAATTGTGAAGTACCAAATTCTATACCAAATATAAATTCTGATTATGATGAACATTCTCTTCCATTATATGCGACACATGTTGGTTTAATTTGGTTGAAATTCGATTCAGATAAATATTGGCAAATTGTGACCGATCGATTTTCTTCAGACCCTGAAATTAATGAATTAATGAAACCTACTCAAGTACAGTCGATTTACATTGAATTTGAAATTGAATACGCCCTTGATGCAACTAAATCTTCACCATCGTCTGAATGTAATATATCATCATCTCTACTTTCCAATAATAATCAATCATTAACACGTCAAATTTCATTAGGATTCAAATTGGAATTACTGGCATCAAATTTAGCTCCATTAAAGTTATCTGATTTAATGTTAACTTTTGAAGATAAACCATTAACAAATGAATATTACTTACAGAAAAATAAAATGACAAAATTATTTGGGGAAAAAATTCAAGCTGAATCATTTTTATATGGCTCTGTCGAAACAAACTTATCACATACATTTCTACCTCAGGTATGTTTTCAGGTTACAATTTTTTTCTGAAAAAGATAGTAAACATTGATTTCAGTGTTTTAAATCTTTCCCTTAGTAATTTTTCTTTTATCTGAAAAGAGGATTTATCGTATCTTTTCGACTTTCAACGTTAAACAACTACATTGGTATATTTTATTACTATGTTGTTGTATAGTGTTTGTCCACTCATGATTTTTCTCGTTTTAATTGTATATATATATTCGATTTTCATCAAGTTCTGTAATATTAAAACTTATTGGTATAATACATTCAAACTTCTACAATTTTTTTACATTCTTAATAGATACTGATAGAACCTAATCATCTCCTGCATTATCGTCTCGAAATAGAACTAGAAGAAAATTGGTCTAATAAACAACAGTCGAGGTCACTAGTACAATTAATTAGTCCATGGTTATTTCATGTATTTAATGAATCAGCAGATAATAGTTCTAAACGAAAGCAATCACTATCTTCTGCTGAACTATCGAATGGGGTATCTGAAAAAACCTCGAATTCACCGAGTTCTCCTGTTTTAAACTCTTGTACAGATGTCTTGGATAATTTGAAAACTACACATCAAATTCGTTTACCACTTATTGGATTTAGTGACTTAGTGTTCAGTAACAAAATGACAAAACTTATCAATTCAGAACGGTTAAAATCGAATGAATTAGGTATTCCTATTCCTGTGGAAATTGAAGTACCTGGCAGTGTTTTAGAATCAAATATAAAAGTAATGTCACATCCCTTGTAATAAATATTATTTCAGTAATTCTCTGTAATGTTATTTAATCAAAACACATTTTTGTCAAAAAATATATTTTAAAAGGGGTTATTTTAAAAGTTATTACGTCGAAGAAGTGCCTGAAAAGTGTCCTCTTTGTAGCCAAAAATATCCATATTGTTATCAATAGCTTGCATGCGTTTTTAACAGTTGGCTTCGTCTTACGTTATGGCTATGGAATTCAGTCGTTAAAAGTAGAAGTCTACCATAGGTTGCTTATATTTTACGGCAAATATATTTGGAGTCTTTCTTTCTCAGAACAAGAGAAAGAAAGACTCTAAATAGTGCAATCACCAAACATCTCCTTGATACAGGACATCAGGTCGATACCCTACAATCATTCAAGGTGATTAGTAAGCAGCCAAATTCCAGTCTTCTGAAGTTTGCTGAAGCAGTTGCTATCAGATGCCAAAAACCTGATTTATGTGTTCAAAAGGAGATGGTTATTAATCTTTCCTTGCCTTGGTGACTATTATCCCTTCGCTGTATCTTAATATTTTTTCTTTTTCTTTAAACTCTTTCTTGCACTTATCACATCATTGAGTTTTACTCCAACTACCTTCCAAATTAATGACCTTATTTTATCAACTGAAGTCTACTCATTTCAGTGGTGTTTTGTTCTCTGAGCTGGATGGTTTGGTCGTGGAGCTTTCATCGTTCTTCTAAACGACATCATCAGCACAAACTTTAGATGCTGATGATGTCGTTTAGAAGAACGATGAAAGCTCCACAACCAAACCATCCAGCTCAGAGAACAAAACACCACCGAAATCATCCACCTGAGCTACAAATCTTCTCCACCATCTCGAACTCTACTCATTTTATTCATATCAATGTTTACTTGTTTCTAGCCGTTTGAACTGTTGTCACAATGTTCTTTTACATAAAGTATATATTTACAATATTCAGTCTATTAAATTTATCTACACCCTTGCTGTACTATACGAATATGTCTTCAATATAACATCCAGTCAAACTCTTTCATGTAAGTAATTTAAACCCATTATGTAATTATGACTTTAAATATCACAGGTTGTAAGCAGCTGACGAGAACCAACGAAATACAAATGAATTCATGCTATTCTGTATAGACTTTTGTTAAAACTTATTCCATAATCCCGAATCAACAGTTGAAGATTCTAAAAGGCATGAATCAAATTCAATTACACTGATGTTAATGTATCTGATTTTTCCATCAATCTCGAACTAATCATTATTTCGTACTTCACATTCTACAACTGTATGGATACCTATCTAACTATTTCAAATACCTACTTTCCCATTGAAATTAATGATATGATTGTATTCCTTTGATTGACCTTTCACCGCCTTGATGTGTAACGCAACGTGTCAGTGTAAATAGACATACATTTGTACTATCACCTACATTTCCTTTGCTTACAGAGAATAATGAAATGTCCTTTTTTAATTATTAACTAAAGTAGATAACGGATTAAAAGAAGTTAATTATTTCATAATTTTACCTATATATATGCACAGATCGATTACTACTATCATTTATTTATTTTGTTCTAATCTTAATTCTTGTTTTCTATTCTACAGATATTTTGGTACTCTCGTGTTCAAGCTCGTTGGAAATCTGATTGTAAATCAGAAAAATCTCAGCAATATGAAAATTCATATTTATGTTCTTATTTTCGTCGATATGGTCGAATAATTTTACCAGCACATGAATGTCGAATAGATCCAAAATGGTTTGCCAATGAAGCTTTGTCAACATCATTATTTAAACCTTGGTATGAATATCCGTTCCTTAATTCTGGCTCTGCTGCTGGCCTTCTCTGGTCAAATAATATTTGGATAGGTTAGTCTTGTATTTCTTTTATGGATCGATTTTTACTGAGAACAATTTGAAGTGTTTGATAAACAATGATGAAAAAAACGACTTCTGAATACATTAGTTCATGAATAAATCGTTTATTCACCTTTAAAAATCTATCTAATATTCTGATAGGTAACTTATATGTATAACGAGTAAAACAAGTCAGCTTCAATGCTTATTTCAAATCACTATATTTGTTAGTATTTGAAATCGGCATCTCTATGAGATTCACTGGTTTTCTTCGAAGAGTATATTTAATGAGGAGGTGCTAGTTAACAGCGGAAATGTATAAAAATACATAAAACGATTACAAATTATCACTGCTATATTACTCTAAAATATACAACAGAATGTAAGTTGTCGATTCAGAACTTTTCAAAATGGGTAACGCTTGAAACTTAAGATAAAATGGAACCAAAATCACATTCTGACAGTACTCCTTAGATCTTCAATAGTTAGTAGGTTTTATGAATGACAATAAGGTCATAAGAATTTTTCAATAAAGCAAACTAGCAGTTGTGATCTTCATTTGGTCCTACTGGGAGATTAATTAGTGAATTTAAGTGTGATTAATCATTTGTGATCACTAATTCCTTCCTAATTTATCCCATTAATATTCATAGCACTTACTTGCAAGCTGATTTTTAAGATTTTATTTATAAATTTCTATTGTCTCAATGTGCTACTACTTGTAAATAATTATCATTCAATATCTATTCAAGTACTTTTTTATCCCTATTGATCTTGTGTCACTGTAATTCAGTGATAAATACTTCAAATCTCTTAATACGATATATATATATATATATATATATATATATATATATATATATATATATATATATTGAATAGCTTCTGAATGATCGATTCGTGAGAGTTCACTACTAGTATTGTTTTTTGAAATTCATGACAATGACAAATGAAACACTGTTTTACTTAATAAATGAAAGCTTTTGCAACTTAATACCAACCATCGGTCTATGCCGATTAGCGACGATTATTTATCCGAAAAAGCATTCAAACGAAAATTCTCAAGGTCCAATGTTACAACCTTACTCGTATTTACCAGTTATCAGAAGCTGTCCATTATCATCCTGTTACTGCTCACAGGCAACATCATGAGATGCATTATACAAAATGCTTGCGAATATTATAACTATTGGTTGTTTGCATTTCTTCACTGAAGTTATGCTTTACACAAAAGTTACATTAAACTAACGTATGTTTGTGTTGTATTTAAAAAAAATTGTTTAGATATCAGTCTGGACCCACCCATTCTTGATCATTCACCAAATTTTCGAATTAATTCACAAAAAAAACTTGATCCTCAAAGTCAACTATGTTTACAATGTCGTCAAGATTATTCTATTGCACGTCGAACAACTGTTTGTACCCAACGTCGTATTTCATCTATTTCAGTATTATTAAATCAAGAATTACTAACTAATACCAACACTAATATCACTAGTACAATAGCGAAAATCAGTTGAATAATTTAAAAATAGAAGAATTATCAGTGGGACTTCGTAAAATATCTCTCCCCGATTTAAGAGTTTCACGAAAATCCATTATGAATATTAACAAAGAAGATCTTTATTCATCGTCACGTATTTGTACATATCCATTAAATCCTGTGTCTGTTTCTATTCAATGTGGAGTAAGGCAGAATTTTTTACGGAATATTTTTATGGAAAATGAAACAAGTAAGTGGTGTGTATACAATTCTTTGTTGATACTATGATAGTAATGATCAGTTATATCTTGTTTTGTTCACAAATTATCTACCTCTCTCTCGTTATTTAATGTGTCACATGCCTAATCACCGCCTAACTCTACAGCAGCATACTATAGTGTAGGAGTAGGCTGAAAGAAGATAGTGGCGGCCAAGTCAACCACTTTTACTACTTTTATATTATGATTCTTAATGTTAACCCTCTGTGCTAATTTTGTGTGGAAAGTTGAATCGATGAACATATATTAGATTATACATTGCATATAACTGACTTACTAACCTCAGTTGTGACTTTTAAAGCCGGTTTAGTATCATGTAACTTATTTGCCAATCGGAATACGACTTATAGAATCTCAGCACTGTGCCAAACCAATGACGTATCAACCGGTATGAACAGCCTAGCCTCTTCGTTGTTAGAAATTTATGTATATGATATGCTAATGAACATGTGTCAAAGTACTTAAAGCATAAAATTGTTTAAAACTATCATGTTGATTATAACTGACTGATTAGTCAGTATACTTGAAATAATTTCTGAATGGAATGTATTACAAAACTTTCAAGTTGGAAATGGTTTAAAATTGCAAATATATGTATGAAATTATCCCATTATCTGATTAAATGTATGGCTAAGAAATGTGTACTTGGTTCCGTGGCAATCACAACCCATTAGATTTAATAAATGTATAATTAAATTACTCATTTAAAACTTAAAGTGAGAAATAGTTCATGTTACTGATGTAAGTCATTTGAATAAAACAGATATGGATATTCGATTAGAACGGTAGAAATTACTTTTATTAAAATAACATATGTAAGCGAATAATGTTAAATCAATCAAGACAATTAATAACTCGATAATCACAATGAAATAGATTACATAACTACAAATAATAGATAAAAAGTTAAAAGGCTGGTGTAAAAAGAATAAAATTTCAACATAGGAAGTAGAACAAACTTGCATAAATAGACTTTAAAATAATAGTCACGACATCCTTAAAATTACCTAAGAAGAATTGTGTCAATAATCAGATGGTGAAGAATATTTTAACTTCTATAAATCTCTGTCTCCATTTTTATGCTGTTTACAAACATTTCTGCTATCATCTAGGAAACCAGTTAGCATCAGCATGTAGAACGTATTTAGCCCACGATTTCCCTGGTACATCCAAGGGTGCGAAGAGTCCACCTATCCTCTTGAAATGCCCCGGCATAACCACGCGTATACAGCCACTCCCACGGAAGTCCTACTAACTTCCTTCTCGCACGAGGGTGTTGTTTATCCAAACTGAGAGGACGAAAAGCGAATGTCCGCTACTTTTATCGGGTTGGTGAGTTTTGAGTGATCCACTTAAGGCAGCTGAAAAATCCTGATTCCAAACCAATGGTGCACATAAGCTCTGGAATCCTGAGGGAACAAATGGCGTGTGAACCTATTGTTGGTCCTCGGCTACAATGGGAGTGAATCTCCTAACGTTTCTCCACAGACTTGTGGATTATACCTCTAGGTCAAGAGCTCGGGGAGTGTCCACCTAAAAAACCACCTGCTTTGAGTTGAGCACCCGGGCAACATCACAGCCCACACACGAATCAAGTGACTTGTGTTGCGCATATATATTCGGTGCCCCTTCTTACCAATATTTATGTTTTCAAATAAATAAATAAGTTTTACTAATCAATGGCTCTTTATGTTATGCGAACATCTAACTTTTTTTTACTATATTAGTTCATTTAAAGCATATGAAATCACTTTATTACTGTAAAACGAACAGGTTTCTGAATTTATGTATCCTGATAAATTTTTTTTAAAATATTGCTTTTGATTAGTTGTAATTCATCATTTGTGTAAACATTTCTTTCTATTATTTTTTATTCGTTTTTAAAAAAATATACTCTAAAGACTCTACAACTCAACGAAAAAACTCGTTTTTCAACTCAAATGGTACCACAGATTCAACACAGGAGTTTCGAATAGAACATGTTTGGATGGGTCCCGCTGTATATAGACATGTTCAACACATTAGTAATGATGATCATGAATCAACTCAGAGTACTTTGTTAGGACCATTAATTGAAGGAATGGATTATACTTTTGTTGGAAAAGCCTCAGGTAGTATTGGGGTGAGTGTCCGATTGCATTTCTTAAACATTAAAGCTTATAAATGTGTAAATAATTAACCTGTCAGAAATGTTTGTAATTACTGTATTTTTTTGTTTTAATGTTTTTAGTTCTCTATCCCTCAGTCTTCACCGTCATCATCATTATCACCATCTAGTCAAAAATCTGAAACATCCATTAGTTCTATAATATTTTTACGTCCCGGAAAATTTTGGGTTTGTGGTCTGTTAGGTATATTACCAGAATCTTCCATTTTAACTATAGCAAAAGATGGTCAAATACCTACACCATTTCATTTACCATCAGTACACAGTGTTGAAACTATTCGTTTTTCACCAAATGGAATCTATATTCATGTACTTGATTCACATGTGTAATGATTTTTTTATCTGATTTATTTTTTTTTTCTGATCTAGAAATCTACTTTCAGAAGATTAATATATCCTTCCATTTCTATAGGTTATTTATATTATTTCCTTCTGTGTTTATTTTACTGTGATTATTACTTTCAAAGTGTCTGTTTGTTGGCGTTGTTTAGAAACAACCGGTTTCAAAATATTTTCCTACCATTTGTTTGTACTGATTTCTTCGTTTCATAATTTTATCATTTATCGATCATGTGTGTAAGTTTAACAGTAACATCATCATCATACGCTCAACGATGATTTGTCCACATGTTTTATAGTGATTTATATACTTTAAATAAATTTCTTTGTTCTATAGATTAACAAATTAAATCATTCATATCATCATCATATTCACATCAAAACAACAGGGAATATAAACATGAAAAAAACGAGAAAAATATATTCAATTTAATCTTTTCTTTCTTATGTTATTTCCGTGCTGATTGTCTCAAAACACATATGATACATATTTAGTCTACACTGTTCTATTTTTCCCGTTTTAATATCCTTCATTCTGCTTCTTCTTCACGTTTGTCGGCGTGTTTTCTTTATTCCTCCTCTTCTACTGTGATAGATTAATAATGAGTATTTTTTTTAATTGCATTTATTAAACAGTATATTCAACATTCGCGATTTGATTACTTCGTTCAGTATGTAGGCCAGTTAAGTGTATGTGTGTATGTATGAATAGATATTCTGCGAAGTTAGAGGGAAATATATTTATTCAATAATAATGCTTGTTATTACTATCTCTTTTCTCTCATTTATATCTTGCTTTATTTATTCAACCGAAAACAATTAAACATTATACATATCATATAAGAATTATTATCTTAATCGTTCTGTAACAAAAATAAAACATTGATTCAGTGTATTGTAACTAGTGACTTCCTGTCCATACATTTAACCCTCGCCTCAAGAAGGATGTGTGTGCAATTGGATAAAACTTGTTTACTTTCCATTTCTATATAAATAAAATACGGTTGTGATTTATCCTAATCAATTGTTCACTAGTTCTTAATTTGTTTTTAATATAATATTGTTTTAATAAATAACTTATAAAACAGAATATAAACATTCATTTAGAAGTATATGGTTTATTTTTTTTCCTTATGTTTATGTGTAAAATTAATTAATTCTTACTTGAAACATGTCTGCAGTTGAATAAGTTGTTTCCAACCTGGTGAAGTAAATGAATTCCAAATTACTGAATTATGATATATTTCAATTGTGACCGACAACTGAATTAAGGATGATTAGTAGGATAATCCGTTGGGTTTTGAACAGATATGTTTTAAGTTAGTCTTAGTGTGAAAATCAACTCTGAGTACAAGCTGCTGAGTCCAGGATAGGGTGATATGTATGTCCGAATTTGCACTACTAACTACAATTCAAATATACCAAAACTTCCAATTAAAGTCTGTATCTAGACTATCAGCTGTGTCCATATACCCCCATAGAGCATAATCAGTCCCAGTTCTGAATATGAATATCGGAAAATTTTCAACTTTTACATAAAGAACTGAATTATAAGTTCCAACTCATCTCGAGCAAAGAGTCCAAACTAACTTCTATAATAAAGATTAACAGACTGGTTATTGGGTTGTCTTCATCTGTAATAACTGTAGTTGACATATATCCAGCGTGATCAACTATCGTTGTCAAAATAATGTTTACGAATTAAAAACTATTAATTATGCTGTCTAAGAGAACATGAAATCATTTTTACACACTATCATATAAAGATATGGCAAATGATATGCAGAACCGACATAATCTATGACTTGCCATATTTAATCAATAATTAACTAAAGGGAATTCCAGAGGAATAAACTTGCCCGCTATTTTTAATAAAAGTTGAAAATAAAAAATGTTAGTAAAGAGCTGAATGAATATTTCCGTAAGTAATGAATCACTTATTGGTGGAACAATGCCAGATGAATCACATGGATTCCTAATGTTCCAGCGTGCAATGATCTCGTTACCATAGAGACAATTTACATACTTTTCACAACACATTCCCGAGGATGAGTGAAGCTGCTTAAGCTGTTCCATCTAATTTTTAGCTGTTAGAGTTTGTGTATACTTTGCTTTACTGATAATTATCATTTAAATATCAGAGGTGGAATATTAGTTAATTTATGCTTTTACTAGCAACTGACGTAAAAGCTTAACAGCATTAGGATAAATAGTTTTGTGATAGCAGACGTGATCTCATGTTCTCTGCATGAGTTGTTAAACTAAAATTTCAACGTTTGACCGATAGAAGAAATCCGACCAGATTATTCTCTAAATAGTTGTGTCAAATACTATCATGAGATAAGTTTCATTAATTATAATTTGACTATCTAATTGAAGAAAGAGAGCACAATATCGGTTGCTTGATATAAAGTACCGTCAACACAAGTCTTTGCAAAACAAATGAGAAAAAAATTCAGGATTTCAGCTGTTTATTGCAGTATATTTCACCACTGGCTCATGTAAAATTTGATCAAGGTTTTTAAACACAATAACAATTATCCCTGGTTTCAACATATTTTCTGCTATTTCGTTATTCCTAACTGTATTAGTATATCTGCACCTTATGAAATAATTACACCCTAAGGTAAGTGCGTAAAAGTTTACGTAGTTATTGGGTAGAACTATAGTAACTTAAACGCAACTTGTCGGCTCAGGAAAATCTCAATTAATTATACTCCATTTCTCTTTTGCCATCGTCGTTAGCTAATTTCTTTAAGATGTTTTAACTACTAACAAGCTTTAAAAGTAGCCACCTTTAAAATTTTGATAATAAAGTGCACGAACAATTTGACTGTCAACAGCTTAGTGGGATAGAATTGATTTATTATGCTTGAACAGTCGTTTGTAGATTGATTGGTCTCATTACACAAATTAGCACTGACATTCAGTGGTTGGGCGAAATCTGTCTGTGAAATAATAGGAAGCGGTAAAGCGTAAAATATCAGGATTATCAATCCTTGTCTCTTTCGCACAACTGGTTCATAAATCTCGTTTCTAAGTACTAATACCTTGATCGATGATCCCACTGTTGACATAGGGAATTTGGACTGCAAATTATGTTGAACCGAAATGGTAGGAGACTTAGTGGAGACACCATCAATAATTATGGAGAAAATGGAATAAATTACATATCTGCCACATGCTAAGTTGCATTGCACAATACTGAATTTTAAACTAAGTGGTTTATTTGCGTTCAAAGCTTTGTCTGTGATGATGCGTTAACGACCAATCAAGTTTTGAAACTGACACAGTGTTCGTTTTCGCGCAGCCGGTGTGTATGATAAGGATGCTCATGAAACCTACAATCAATCAGACTGTCACTCTTTTCTACCTTATCGCCTGAACCGTCGTAGACATAAGTATATTTTATTAACGACGTCTTCAATAAGTCATTCGTTGCCATTTTGCTAACCTAATAGACAGTGTTGACACATGGTATGAAGCACTACACGAACGAATCAAATTAGGTGTAAATTCTTCTGAAAAGTGTTGTTGCAAATATTTGCTGACTTCAGTTTGTTTTACTGATTCGTGTATACAAGACATTGGGAAAGTGCTGAAGATCAATGTCTAAAGCCAACAACAATCGCTGTGAACTTTGCAATTACATATGAATTCACTTATAGGAGTCTAGCATTTCAAGTCAAACCATTTCATTTGTAAACTTTAAAGTCTTCTAATAGACATCAAATCTCCTGTTATCGTAATAGGTTTTGAAGTCAATTCTGCAATTCCAATAGTAATAATTGTTTCAACTATACAAAGCTTGGAGACCATGACAAATCAGCATAAATGCCATGCCGTATTTTATTTTTCTACCCATCATTCAATATATATAAATTATTAGTCATATGCAGAAATTGTGATCAACATTTCCACATTAACGGTTATTTCAATTGTCTACTTGTTTCATAATGACTGAAAAATTTATTCTGTACACGGCAAACATGCAAACATCTTATTATCAGGTGATTCATCCCCTTCTGCCTCGTTTAAAATTATCAGAATCGGGGTTTGTATAGATCTTAGTATTTTCTCAATAGAATTCACAAGTCAGTCTAGGTTAGACCATGAATGAAGTTAATTCATTCTAGTAAGTGACTCCTCAGGAGTACGCATCCACGATTCCGCATACGGGATTCGAAACCAGGACCTTTGGTCTCACAAGCGAATACCTGACTTCTAGACCACTGAGCCGGCATCCAACGATTTTAAGGTCTAACTTTAATTGTTTCATGAACTTGCTCATATGTTCATCTATTATCTGAGGTAGGTATATATCTCTGCTCGACACGGATTGAATTCCACTGATCACGCCTTCTCACTAGAACTCCAGGGAATCCATCTTGAAGCTAGTCACTCATGAGCTCATTATTATTACCATTAAGGAGAGTTGTTAACATTGAAGTATTTTTAACAGTACTTCCAGGTTGTCAATGGTAGTCTAGCTTAGGTCGACTCATGAACTCAACTATTAGTCTAAAATTAGTTGTCTCAAACTACTTACCATCAAATTTTTCAAAATAGCGTACAGAGTTCAATAAGAACGAATAGGTAGCATCAAACAACATTTATTAACTATTCCAAGGTCGAGCTACACAAGTGTTTTTAAACCGTGAAACGTTTACCGTATTAATTCATAAAGAATACGTATCGATAAGTTCGAATTGTATCTATCTTAACTGCTTTATTAGAAAAATATTTTACTGCTTCAACATATTTATCTTAAAAAGTCCCTTGTGAGATTTAGAAAACAACACACTGAATATTGGAAGATATAATGAGATAAAACAAATGCATTATTGAATAAAACAAGACAAATTGTAGATAGTTTATAAAAGAGTAGTGAACTATCTGATAATAATTACATTTGATAGCCTCAGGTATGTAGATATATGAATATACATATATGTTTAAATTGATAAACATTCTTTGAATGAATGATATTT